AAGCGAGTGATTCCTAAAAGTGTGGTCAGACGACGGAAAAGATCGGATTCAAACTGACGTCCGCGGTCTGTAGTGATGGTTGAAGGGCAACCGAAGTTTGCTACCCATCGTTCGACGAAGGTGCGGGCCACTGTTTCAGCAGTGATGTCCTTGATAGGTACTGCTTCTGGCCATCGAGTGAAACGGTCTACGCAGGTTAAGAGATAAGAGTATCCATTTGAATCTGGTAGAGGTCCTACCAAATCCAGATGAACATGGTCGAAACGAGCATCGGGAGTTTTAAACGAGCCTAAGGGACATTTATTGTGTCTGATAACCTTAGATTTTTGGCAGCTTACACAGGAGCGTGCCCACTCCCTCACGTCTTTATTCATTCCAGGCCAGCAAAACCGTTCTGCTATAAGCTTGATGGTTGCACGAACTCCTGGATGCGAAAGTTTGTGCAATGTGTTGAAGACATTGCGTCGATAATGTTTCGGCACGATTGGGCGATCCCTACCTGTAGATGTGTTACAAAGTAAGGTTTCCTTACCTGTTCCCATCTGTTTGATGCGTAGTTTAAGTGTTGTGGACGATAACTCGTGCTGAAGATCACTGTCTTCTTTTTGAAGCTCGGCGAGTTTAAGAAGGTCGATTCCTTGGAAACTGTTCAAGGAAGTTATGCGAGATAAAGCGTCTGCAACTACATTGTTTGCTCCAGAGATGTGTTGAATGTCTGAAGTAAACTGCGAAATGTAGTCCAGTTGTCGAGACTCACGGGGAGAGTACTTGTCAGAAAGAGAGCTTAACGAGAAAGTGAGCGGTTTATGGTCCGTGAAAAGAGTGAATTCACGACCTTCGATGTAGTGTTGAAAATGCCGTACAGCACAATACATAGCTAGGAGTTCCCTACCGAATGTGCTGTACCTCGATTCGGTGTCTAGCAACCTTCTAGAGAAAAATGCCAAGGGTTGCCAGGAGTTGTTAACCCATTGTTGTAAGACTCCTCCGATTGCCGAGTCGGATGCGTCTACTGCGATGCTAATGGGTGCTCGGGTGTCCTGATGTGCGAGCATTGTTGCTTTAGCAATCAGTTCCTTAACTGTGGAGAATGCTTTTCGTGCGGTGTCGTCCAAATTAATGGATTTCGCATTTCCACGAAGTTGGTCGGTCAGAGGTTTCATAAGTAATGCGCATTTCGGTATGAAACGTCTATAGAAACTTACGAGGCCGTTAAACGTGCGTAATTGCTTGACGGTGGTCGGTTCTGGGTAATCCAGAATGGTCGCCACTTTGGTCCCAAGAGGTCGAATGCCTTGGGCATCGATAGTGTGTCCTAGGAAGTCTAACGAGTCGGTTCCGAATTAGCATTTCTGATCGTTTACAGTTATGCCATGTTTTTGAAGTCGTTCGAAAACAAGATCCAGATGCTTGAGATGTGTTTCTCTGTCCGGACTTGCGATTAGACAGTCGTCAACATACGCATGTACGAAGTTGAGACCTCGAAAAACGTCGTCTATGAATCTTTGGAATGTTTGAGCAGCATTCCTTAGACCGAAAGGCATTCGCAAAAATTCATAGAGTCCGAAAGGAGTTATGATAGCTGTTTTCGGTATGTCGTCAGTAGCCATAGGGATTTGGTTATACGCTTTAACCAAGTCGATTTTCGAAAAGACAGTTGTACCTTTCAAGGTAGCTGTCAAATCGTGAATGTGAGGCAACGGGTAACGATCGGGAATGGTTTTCGCGTTCAATCGCCGATAGTCACCAGTTGGACGCCAATCGTTGCTGTCCTTTTTAGGGACCATGTGCAACGGAGATGCATATGGGCTACTTGACGGTCGTATGATTCCTAAGTCCATCATGTGATCGAATTCGTTCTTCGCTAACCTTAGCTTTTCAGGAGCTAGTCGTCGTGCTTTAGAGAATACTGGTGGTCCTGTAGTCGTGATGTGATGTGTAACGTTGCTGGTTACACACGGTAGTTTTGGTTGAGTTTGTTGTATCCCAGGGTACTTATCGAGTAGTGGTTGATAGAGTGGGTCTATCATATGTTAAACTGTGACTGGGGATACTCTACAACCAGTAAAAGAAGTTACGCAAACGGACAAATTAGTGTTTCCGTCTACTAGCCTCCGTTTGCGCGTGTCGATGATCAGATTGTGGTGTTGTAGAAGGTCCATACCAATGATTGGCATAGAAACATCTGCAACAACGAAAATCCAGTGGATGGGTTTGCCTAAACCCACGTTAAGGTAAACGTACCTTTTGCCATACGTAGCGATCGGTTTTCCGTTTGCCGCCTGTAAGTTTAAAGCCGAATCTTGAAGCCGATCGTTCGGATTCGCTGGGAGAATGCTAACTTCTGCGCCAGTATCGACGAGGTAGCGAACTCTCGTTGTCACATCTGTGACGTATAACAGACGGCTATGTTCGCCGGCTACGGTTGCCGTTAACGCGTGCCGGCTTGGAAGTTTCCCGAGTTGTTTTTCGAGTCAGTCGGTTTCGTGTTGGGAAAATTGCAGGGTTTTCTGCAATTTCAGGGAAGCTTTCCATACTGGTTATGATACCAGCACCAGTCGGGGTTATCTGTCTCTCGTGGTCTAGAGGCAGATCGCTTACGTGAAATGCTTCTACGTGGAGTGCACGATCTCTTACGGTCGGTACGAAGACTAAGATAACGCGTGAGTGTATGACATAAGTCGTTTATATCATTCTGAGTCGTTTGAGGTTTTTCTGTGACTGAAAATACCTCGGTAGTAGAAAGTTTCGTAATTTCTAAAATGCGGTCGGCAGATGCAGCTAGCTCGTCTAAGGCGTTGTTCTGGAACGAGACCAGAACTGCTTGCACCTGTTGTGGAAGTTTTGACAAGAAGAGTTGTTTGAATAGACCTTCGTCGAAAGTTCTTGGGCCAATAACCTCTCTCATCCGTTGCAACATGTCTGTCGCAGAACCGTGTTGCAGGTCGATGTTATTGAAGAGTTGATCTAACCTTTGTCGATCAGTTAGATCTCCTCGTTTAAGAATCGAGCGTTTTAAGATTTCGTAAGGATCGGAAACATCGCTAGTAAACATACTAGGTGTTACGTACCTGTTGAATTCGCGCGGTAGTGCCTTGACTACTGCGAGGAATTGTGCACGTGTGTCGATCACGCCGTGCTGGGAGAAGTCGGCTTCTGCGTTGCAAAACCAGGCTTCGATGTTGTCGGGCCATAAAGGCATCAGTTGAAACGAAGGTGGGGACAAAGTCTTAAGCTTGAGTACTTTAGGTGTCTGTTCAGTCATGATGAAGTATGAAGTACGATAATGAACGAGGGGAAAATATATATATATCCAAGAAAAATTACGAAAAAAATCACAATGTTTAAAAAAAAATAAAAAATAAGGCAATGATATATAAAAATCCCAAAAAGGAACAGACTCACAGTTGCAATTAGGTGTACCAGATCACGTCGGGCTCACCAATGATGATGCCACAGGTATTCAGTGTTTGACAACGCTTCTACCAGTAACACCTTCTAATATATTTCGTTCCCGCCCAGAGAAATCAAAAGACAGAGTCGAGGAGATCGTAAGAGTATATTTGGCGATGACCAATATATCGGAATTCTCTGATCTAATCTGGCTAGCGATTGCGGTTGATGTTGAGCACGGCGTTACCACACGTGATCTGGTGCGGATGCCTGACCGAGCGCCTTCAGTTAGATGAGTCCACTAAAATATATGGTCAGCATCCAATGTCGAAAACTTACAGAGCTATTTATTTTGGGGATTTATTTACCGCTACAATCCTGAAGAGTTAAAAGACGCAAACGTAGGAACTACTGACCCATAGGCTTAACCAGCTTAGCTGTTAAAATCTGGAAAATATTATTCGGAAGTTATCTAAGTGTCCAGAGGAAAGCCGGTTTCTTTCAAAAAGGCGGAATGGTCTTAGAGCAAGCTATTCATGTCCCATACATTTGATTGTAGGTCATGAAAGCTGACGCGCTCTTAAAAATGAAAAGTTACCTACAGACATATCTTACATTGACTTCAGTAAGGCTTTTGACAAAGGTCCTCTTAACTGTCCGATATCCAAGTTAAGCGCTATCGGGATGGGAGGCAACTTACTTGTGTGGAAAGAGGAATTCATAGTTGGGCATCAGCAAGGAGTACGGGTAAACTCGAAGTTGTCCATCCGGCAGTTCTGAGTCTGGTGTTGTTTCCTCTGTAGGTCATTGATCTTCCTAGTCTCCTATCATGATTGGTTTCGCTATATGCTGATGTCATGATATGGAGAGCGGTAAAAAGTGAACGTGAAAGTTTGGAGATTCAAAATGATCCTGCAGAAATTATTGGAATGGTCTAGAATTGGACAGTTGCTAATAGATGTTTCCGAATACAGTGTAATGCATACTGGCCACCAAAATACACATAAATACATGCTGAATAAAAATGGGCCACCTGTTGCCCGGACACATAATGAGCTTAGAGCCATCGTTAACTGAGACTTAAAAATTGCTCAACACATGCAAAGGGTTTAGATTATGTGGTTCACGCATAGAGGCACTAGACATGTAGATACCAAAACCTTTTCCATCTCGTGTAGTGTTTAATAGTTCCAAACTTGAGTATTGGATATAAGCACTTACCCCCTGCCTAAAAAGAGACAGTGAGTGGTTGTAAAATGTTCAAATAACCACAAGAAAGCTGTTTTCCAGAACTTTTATATCCTGTATGAAGACCAGTAGTAATTTGATCTCAGCCTTTAAAATACTTGATGATAAACTTGCATCTGGTTTGCCCCGTTTTTTGGCTTTACGAAAAAGAGTTAGTGAAAACGATTGCCAGCTGACTATCAACCTTAACGCCGATTCACCAACAAATGTAACTCACTACCTTAACGCGCGATTGGAAGTCCTTCTTTCAACGTTTCCTTAGGCAAGTTGGATCAACTGAGAGACTGCCACCGCCAATACTAATAAAGACTATTAAGCTTACTGTTCTTTTTACAAAGTGAAATTGAAACTGAAACTGAATCAAGTCGCCCGTTTTAAAAATGACCTTGAATTGAATGGATAACTATATCCAAGCCGGTCGATGTCTTCAGTCTTCAGATGATCATGAGGACGCGATTAGCAGTACTGATGACGGGTCCCAGCCGATATCGCAAAGCGTCCAAGACTTAGCAAATGATATATATAAGGAGTTCGAGTCCTTGATCAAATTATATGGGAATGGCTTTCTTCATAATTTAATGCCGTTGGTCATCCGTGCACTAGAGAACCTCGATAGCTTGCATTCCGAAAACTCTGACCTCCATCTAAAGTCACTTGTGTTAAGCGATGACCATAGACTACTTTCGGGTGAATATGAAAAAGAGAAGAAACTAAGGAAGGCTGCTGAGAATGTTAGTTGCTGTTGTTATATAAATATTCACTTTATAAATATAGAGGTTATTCCGCTTAGAAGATGATCTGGAAGAGGAACGTAGACAGCACGAAGAAAAAACTGTGTCGTATGATGCTAATGTCCGTATACTTGAAAACAGAGTGAAAAGCCTGAATGAACAAAGTGAGTCACACACCATCTGTTGATACCATGTCAAGTTTCGAAGTTTGAAGAACAAGAGGCGGAAATGAAAGGAGAGTATCAACGTCTACATGATTTATACACCAATCTTTTGCGTGTGTACCTTGAATATGTAGAACGTGTTAGGTCAATGTTTATCAAAAGCAAATTAGACAGTCATTGTCTTCCTGACTGTCCCTATCCCGGTGATAATGCTTGCTTTGAAGTTGGATTGGCTACTCAAACACCTGACCACAATACAGGGGTTGACCAGTTGAACCGACTGGGAAATATGCTGAATTCAGAAAGTTTGACTCATTGAATGTTTTTACCTGCCTAATCACAGCTTTAGAGACAGAACGACAGAGAATTATGAGGATTATCATGGAAACAACACCTGAGCTTTATAGTGGCGGGAGAATTTTCAATAATCCATCGTTTGTTTGTTGTTTTTAATTCTCATTTCCAGCAAAAAGGCTTTCAGAACCATGTTTCGATGAATTGTCGCAAGGTGATCTACCGGAAGACGATGGGCACGATATAAAGAGTAAGCTCCTTCAACTATTATACAGCGTTCCAAAGTTGTCTTTTCAATATTTATAAGTTTAATTTAAAGCATATATATATATATATATATATATATATATATATATATATATATATATATATATCACTACACGTTATGAAGCGGGTGCATAGATTTTTCATAGTTTATCCTATTAAGTGGTCTTCCAGTACTTGACTGTGAGAATTTGTTACTAATTTGTTTGTAATAAGTCAGGCCAATCGGGACTGGAGAAGTAAGTGCTTTATTAAGATATTTCACCTCGCTTTTGACATTTTTACAGTTGGTTCTCACTAACATACTTGACATTGTTTATTTCCAGGTCATGATGGCTCATGTACTACTCCACAACCACAATCTAGTGAGCCGTTAGGCAGCGAGTTTGCTGGTAAGTTCGTTCGTATGTTATATTCCGAGAATATGTTAGAACCACACCCTTGCTCCCCTATCATCGCTACTGCCTTAAGATAGTGATTGGGCTTGCATGTTCTCAGGACCCAACCGAGTTGTACTTGCTAAGACACTTTCCTTGAAGTCTCCACCTTTCAAACAGTTTGGTTGTATAGGAGTGAAACTAGAGGCGCCAAGTTTGATATTATAAAGGCGAAGGTGTACTACCGAAGGTACGTGGATGTAGTTGTAGCGAAGCGTTTTTAACGGATAACCAGTGTTTCTGATAATGGTACGTTACCACAACCGAAATTGGATTTTAAAAGTTTAAGCCAAAGTAGCATTTTCTATTAGGTCACGAATTTCCAGAGCCAATTGTGAAGTCTTCAGTAGTGGAGTTAATAGGAAACAATCACTCACAAAAATGTGGCATGTGGTCGACCTCAGGAAGTCTTCCTCTGGACTCTACAACCCTCTTCCAATTCGACAGGACCATCAGCGCTAATCCAGTTTTTTTCTCAGGTCTTTCATGAAGGAGTTTCATTTTGTGTTATGGGCAGTTAGGTGATTTCTATCCTCCATACGCTTAACAGCGCTCGGAGTAACAATAATCGAAATTCAACCTCTTCCCTGCTTCCTAAAACTTCTGTTCCTATAGCATACTGTCGCCCCAGTCGTTTTTGTCTACCTCCACTGACTGCGGCTTAGATTATGTAAACGATTATTTCTATGGGATTTTCTGACTTAAAATCTGGACTCTCAGATCTATTAATCGTGAATGGTGAATTTTATTTCCGAGTGGGCATGTTGATATAGATAATCCTTAACAGTGAAGTACCTGATACAAATGTTCATTGGTTTGAATTGTTACACTACGTCAGCACAGCCGGATTAAATTATTGAAATTATCACTTAAGTAGTAGTGATGGTATATAGTCTCAACGTTGCTCACCTGGTAATCCTAACACTTAAGCAATGCTTTGAAGGCATTTATAATCAAACACTTGCAGATATCCTCCATTTTTAAAGGACACATTTCACATCTACCTAGTAGAACCTAAAGAACTGGTGCACAATATGTTTGTCCTTTGGTTGGGATACAGATAACGCAAATTATCAAGTGTCAAACAAGATTTCTTCGGACACTGGCCCATCAAGTTTGACACGACTTCTTAAATAATTGTAACGTGTTTACTTGGAACTTGTTCACTCCTCGTGGTTAGACTAGGCACCGACGTAGAATTATCTTGAATTAACACCAAACAAACTTAGATGCTTCCTCAAGGTGGTTAGAGGACTCAGGATTTTGCCTATCAGAACTATATTGTCCTCATATTTTGAGTCGCTAAATTAATCTCCTAGCAGGAGATCAGTGCCTTAAAAGTCGGATGATAAGAATGTGGTCCCTAAGTGAGTATCTGCGTCAAATTTATATAATGATCCAGAAAGTGGACAACACTAACGAATACAACTTGATCTTTCCAATTCGACTGACAGTTCTCCAAAAGCTCTGTTTGGTGTTGTAGCGTTCGAATAAAGACTGTTCACAAGGTTTATGTACTTTTTCGGTATGCATTTTAGTTTAAAAAAAACACTGCCGCAAAACGTCTGTCGATTAAGTCGAATGATCCCTTGAAGTTGAAAGATACCACTATTGTTGCGCTTCAGTAAGCATGGCTGTGCATCCACACCATTATATGAAACCTATCTGATTTTCCTGGGTCACTACATTGAACTACTCCAATAAATATGTGTGAGGAAGTTCAACACAGACTCTGAACTTTCTAAATTAGCAATAAATCTAGAAGTTTTTTCAAACCATAATCTTTACACACTACTCATACTTACGACTCGTATGATATTCAGTGTGATTAGTATTTATATCAGTTGGCGTTGAAGTGTACATGGCTTCAACTTCTCTCATGTACTTGAGCACTTAGACGGCTAGTTGGGAATATACTTTTGTGGACTGATGAACTTCAGCAAGTAATGTCTCCGACTCCCCTCTTAGTTACCGTTCTTGCCCACATTTTTCTTATACATAGTTAAGAAAACCATATTTAATCCCAACTAGTGGTGATATTCTTTAGCTGAGAAACTTATCATCTTTGACCATCTAGAAGAAGTAGTCCTGATGAGCAGAGACATTGATAAACACAAGATCTTTTAAACATTCTAGGGGAAAATGAAGTTAAAACGGTTAGATGTACTAAACACATCCATATTCGGTTACTGGGCAGTTAGAAGTTATCCTTATTTTCTTCCAATACTACTAAGCCCTACCTTTTAATTTTAAGTATTTTCATTACAAATATTCTCTCGTTTAATCGAATATCAGTCTCCCTCTAATTTATTTGTTGTACCCCAAACAGTTTCTCAAATAACTATTAATTAACGGTTAATTAATGGTTAAGAAACTGACTTAGATGGACAGCAATTTGATAAACATATCTAACTCTACCTGTTATGGATCGATAATAATACACTTACGTTTAGGTTTACTTCGAAAGAAAACAGAACCATCCTTTATTCATTCACAAACCCAACAATTATTATCAACACGATTGAATGAATCATGTCTTTGCATTAACACAGTGGTATTTCAACACTAAGATAGTACAATAAATATGTTGTTGTCCATTCAACTCGTGGTCTGTTCGATAGTTTTGGTAAGGTTCCAATGGTTTATCAGCATTGGCTAGTTTATATAAATTTTGCTTAGATACTAAGGCTTCCAATGAAATAAATTCTTCTGTAGTATAAACACTAAAACCAGTTTCATGAACTTCGTAGTTGTTTGCTGTTTCAATTTTCTAGTGTCATTTTGTTGAAAATCCGCCATAAATTCACATTTTTAACTTCATTATTCATCATGCAGTTGATGCACTATGTAGTCGGATGTTTCTTTTTTCTTAAGTTGTCTGTTTGGAAATTTCAAAACAAGTAGATGCAATGAGACCTGTGATTAATAGATAGGTTGCATTATCATTCGTTATTTATATTACTACCTGAATATTTTATTTCGAAAGTATTACTGCATGACACTATACTAAAGAGTAATATCAGATTACTTCTGTATAGTTGTACTAGCACTTTTGAACTTCATTGATTAGTGTTACGTTTTCCACATCACCAACACTGAATACATCAACTCCGCTACTGTGTTTTTTGGTACATTTGTAGGCCACATGATTTCCCACTTTTCTAAACCTTCAAATAAAACACCGAAAGGTCATATCAGAGGGTTACAAGTGCCTTTTACCAATCTAATTCATAATTGTTATGGTTATCCAAGTAAAATACAAAACCACAGGTACATCCAACCGACGAGCCTTAAATAGAGCAGAACGCGTGTCATGGATTCTACTTCTAGCTACCATCCATCTTTACTAGATTACCTCGTTCCGCTATTTATAAACCTCAACAGGTAATTAAGACGAATTTACAAAGTTGATTAACTCCTCTAGTAGCTAGCAAAATTAAGGTAAATCAGACAGCTTATTCAAAAACAAAAATAGTCATCACATTTTACTCCCAACTCAATATTTCCTTTCAAATGATACTTTAAGTGAACAGACGTTAGTTACTTTTTGCTAATATTTATACTTTGGCCATTTTTAACGAAACTTTAGTTTCCGGTATATTACTCATTCACACAACTTAAGTCGGTTAGTTCTGAATAATGATGTAGTATTTATATGAGCATTGGAGTTAGTCATTTTTACATAATTTCTATAGAACCTGTTGAACTGGAGGTAGATGGTGACCTTACCGATTATGCTGGTGAGTATTCAAATGTCTCGTTGTCTTTGTTTTTTTTCAATGTGAACATCTAGATGTATTTTGTCTGGTGCGTTACAGTTTAATGCATGTTTGTTTATCAGGTTTTCGTGACCATATCCCCCCTTCTTTTTGGTTATCACCGAGTCCATCTAATTTTGTTGATTTGATGTTTATCCATTATATATGCATTTTGAAATGGTGTACTTTTTGTTCATTCGTGCATGTATAATTTTTTTTAGAAATGTAGCTTTCTTTTCTGCCTTTTTTTGTTAGTTATATTAACATAGCTATGTGTAGTGGTCATCTGTTGTCTCTACGTGTGACTTCCGTCGTACTAGTTTTCTATTTTCAAAATTTGTTTATCAAATGTATTAGCTATATCACTGTAACTTTCGTTAATAAACCTCATTAGTACATAATCTAGATATTATATAGATGGGCAGTGTTTTTAACATCAATTTATTGATTTATCTTTGCCGAACTTATTTATCGGGAAAATTTGCTTAGTTCAGACAGTGAATTACTGTTAAAGAATTGGTTCAATTAATAGTATTTCCAACTTTAATATGAATTGTTTAAACAGTAAAGTCCTTTAAACTGTGTGACTCCTAAAATATGATTTAAAAAAGTATTGAAACGTGAATAAACATATTTTTCGTCATATCCCAATGAGCGGAAAAATAGTATTTCTGACGTTTCGTAACCTAATGTAAGCCACTTCTTCGGAATAAATAAATAACCGAGATTAAATTAACACACGTTTACATAGTACAAAAGAAACAATGCAGAATATTTTCAGTAGTGTTTCGTTTGCATCATTCAAACTTGTATTAATTCCGGTTATTTATTTACTCTGAAGTGGCTTACATTAAGTCACAAAACGTCAGAAATACATTTATTATTAGCTTTCTACCCAATCCTCAATTTATTTGAAACTATCAACCTTAACCCTACCTTGGCATTGAGGCCTATTGAAACGTTTTTTTGTTTGTAGTGCAACTAACGAAAACAACGTATTTGCTTATGATTGATTTTTAATAATATCAACTAAACAACTTTTTTCATAACATGATGATAGTATTTAACCTCACTTGATAGACTCTTAAAGCATTTAGTTATTTATTTCAGATATCCATCATAGACAAGATGTTTTTACTTTTACTATTCAGTTAGGAAGTTTAAAATAGGTACTCTCGTTTCGCTCAGTTGATATTTGCGGCCATAAAACCTCAGTACAACCCTGTCTACGTACTAAGACTTTAATGAACATTTAATATTTTACTGTTAAAACAGCAACATGGTCATCACAATCAAATAAACATGAGAATTAATCTAATCTGGGACCTGGTGGTTAGGTTATGTATTTGTAAATTATTGAGACCGATTCACACAGACATTTTAATAATAATAATTATTTCACCAACTATAGACAGTTGTTAGTTCAATCCGAAAATGTAAATCTTATACCTAAATTCAATAGTTCAATATTAAACAGTTGCTTACAAATAATTATCAAGCGTTTTATAAGAACATCTATTACTTGATTTACACGTGTTTGTATGCTTTAGATAATTTTATCTGTCTATATCTATTCTTATATTTACTGTTACTAAATAAATAACGTCTGTTTTGTGATGATTATGTGCACTATCGATTAGAGCGAGATCGAAATCCGTTTTACAAAGCACATGATTAGTTAATCACGTGATTGGTTAAGGCTTCCCTTTATGAAGTAAAGGTTCAATGAAATAATGATATGACAACTACTTGAAAGCAGTCATTTTATGCCTTACTAAATTATCTCTATTTAATCCAGTAGCACCAATATAGATTGAATTTAGTTACTTATGTATTAGTTGCGTCACTTAATACAGAATGAATAGGTTAAACTATATTTTTATGGGTGTTTTCTTAGTAAGTTTGACTGATTTTTGGAACTTTCATTGCGCGCCATGCTAACATTCTTTGTACACTTCTGATCGGTACAAAACATGTCCAATGGTCTTTACTTTTTCTTGCTTCTGCAGTTGTTGTCATTATCCGATATAGACTGGTTCTGCAAGCTTGTAATGGCTTATAGTTGACTCGATACTCTGAGAACGTACTTTGCAAATGTTTAAGCTGCAGGTTAACGTTTGCCTTACATCCATATATTAGTGACTGATTACATTTTTAGCAACCAGTGAAATACACTAGTCTTTGAATCTTCATTTGCTTGAAGCTATCGCAACTCATAAATATTTATGACATTGCAATATATAGTAATCAGAATTTCTGACGTTTTGTAACATGTCATTTACATACTTAGACCTATTTTTTATTTGTACTGGTTGCTTGAATCTTCCAATTGATGTATAGGAGTGCAATCGATCATCCTGCACGTATCGCCCCGACATTTCCATTAGGTAGCAAGCATTATAAGCAGGGCTGTATGGTGTTTAGCAGTGAAATCCAAGATGCATGTTTTGGATTTTGTGGTCTGGACTTACCTCCAATACTATCCTTTTAGTTCAACAACATATATGGTATGTTTTTCTGGGTATGAAAAAGTACTTAACTCCTGTGCAATGAAAATCAAGTCTGACGGTTATATTATAGGCCAACTTTAGGGTCGAATATGTGAATCTGACTCACAATGCATATATAACTCTAACAGCAGCTAAAACATTATTTACATAGTTATCTGGTATCGCACAGAGTAGTCGAAAATTAATTTCAGGTGTAATTAAGTAGCAAGTAAAACTAGTGAACGAAAACACAAGTGGGGACAATCGAATGTATTTAAATACATCATTGCAGAATGTCTTAGTAAAATCTGAGACCCATACAATAAATAATTCATTTGCGAAATTTCAATCAATCGTCCCAGACTTTATTGTTTCTTCATTCTTACACCAATTCTCTGTTCTCGTTCTCTTTTCGATCTTAACCTTGTGCTGACAGGTGTTTCTTTCTCGATTGATGACACATACTACTTATATCTGTCGACATCAGTAGTACAAACCACGAAACGACTAAGAAAGTGATAGTGCTGTAAGTTCTGGGAATTTAGTTAATAAGTGTGACTCACTCTGAGATACACTGACATCATTGTTGATTTATTTACAGTTCCTTTCCTCAGTCGATATGTATGGTTAGCGTATCAGATTGGACATGTTGAATGTTTGTCAAACTTAGTCAATAGGCTGCCTCTGGGGGTATTCACACTTTATAGTTTTTGAGATGGTGGAGAAAATTTGTAGCTCAAGTGGATGATTTTGGTGGAGTTTTGTTCTCTGAGCTGTATCCAGCTCAGAGAACAAAACTCCATCAAAAACACTTTATAGTTAAATTACCATACCATAACTACTTAACTTCCAGACATGTCTACCTGAATAGCTCGTTTACTCTTCTTCTTCCTGATGAACCTTGACATGTACTACCAGTGATTCAACGTTAGGTAGTCATTCAGTTTATACAGAACTATAAAAATGTCATGTACTGACTTGACTACTAATCAAACCCTTGTCTTTCATTAACATCCGACTTGGCTGTTTTTGTTGGGATTTGTGTATGTTAAGTTCTCATCTAGATTGTACCGAAAGTGTAAGATGTGCCTTCGTTTGCACACCTGCTGTATAAATACGAATTTAAACTGTCTTTACATGGGAAAGTAGTAGAAATAATTACGAAATTACTTACACCATAACTTAATTTTCTGAAATGACGAAATGGATAGCGATTTTGTGGCACGTTTCTAAAATAAACGCGTTGATTCAAATCGTTTCTAATAATAATCAACAATGTAGTTGACAAGCTCCCTAAACCATTAGCTAAATATTTAATTACTCAATAGGATGTCCAAGAGTCATTTGCCAGTTGGTTACCGATCACTGATAGTCACTACTGTATTACTCAGTGAGTCGTGTGTCATTCACATCTTAGTTGGGCATAAAATTTATCGCCAATAATAATGATTTATAAAAGTATCTGATCACTGTTCTTTCTTTAATGATATTTCATCATAATTTTGTCGCATTTCCTAGGTGTGCGGAGAGAAATACAGAACTTAATAAAAGAGAATCAAGAATTAGTCCAAACAAAGTAAGAATGAAAATTCATTTTTTTATTTAAAAATTGATGAATGAATAGTTTTTCCATTATACTTTCTAAATCAAACTAATCTTTCGAACGAATATTGTACAAGTTTCACGACTGATTATTACATTTATTACCTGTCGTGCTGTATTTTATGCCTCCAACTGTTTCGCTACAATTTAGGACCACAATTATATATTACATCTAAACAATCCGGGCTGTCCACTGTATGATAGCCTAAACGTTCATGTGTGACTTAGTTTTCATTTGAGATTATTATTGGAAGTTAATTTCTGAACCTAAAAGAAAATATATCTGCCCACGTTAGTGAGCCATCTGTATTGTTATGATCCTCGAAAATGTGGGAGGTACTTTTGTAGTGAACAGAACACGAGTGGAGACAATCGAATGTATTTGACACAAAATTACAGGACTTGTTAATAAAATCTAACAATCAAATAGTAAATACGTAATTTGCAAAATGTCCATCAGTTGTCTCATAATGACTCAAACTTCATTGTTCTTGCATTTTCATTCTGCTTCCATTCTTTACTGTTCGATCCTCTTGTTTCTCTGTTACCAGACATTCTGTTCACGACTAACATCATCTACTACTTATGTCAATATAAGTAGCACACACCACACTTTGTGTAGTGTTAGACCCATACTAAATGAACAAATTTTTTGTCTAAATTCAGTAGTGATTTGTAGTAACAATTGTTATCAATTTGTGTTAAGCTGTATTGATAAGCGTAATAAACTGGCTTCTGCTATTACAAAAAGCACATTTTCACTTTCATTTTATTGATTTGTTAATTAAGTACTGCACTATTAGTGTTTAATTAATGTTGATTTACTGAATATTGGCTCCGGAAATCCTTTCTGGTAATAATTTTGATAATTCTTTTTGAATATTTTACCTAATTCGCACTATGGTACGCCTTGTTGATTGAAAGTAAGATCATTTTAATTTATGTACTTAGAGCTGAACTCTGTTATTACAACATCCATTGATTGGTAATATTAGTAAGCATTTTGTGCAACATTTCTATGCTGAACTTATATTTTTAGACTAGAACTTTAGAGTAATCTGTTTTTATTCGATTGATTCACACGTAGAATGACACTGTAATTACTGGTGTGTCGAACGCATAACTTGGTTATTTGAAAATTCCTCTCTAATTTCCTGGTTAAACCACTACTCTGTTTAAAATAAATCCTTAATAACTTTAATATTATGTGCATTAGTTCTATTGCACAAACTTTTCTCAAAACTAAAACATCAAGCAAATAATGAACACAGTACCAGGAAATCTCCCCCAATATTGAACTTCTTTAAGTTATCATATCCCATACGACCACTGGAGGTAAAGTGAAAATCAGGGATTGGTCACAAAAACAAAGGAAAGGATGTTCTATATACTTGTTATTATTTATTATTTATTTATTTTAACACATGGATATTGGTACAAGCAGGCACCAAATACATATGCTCCACGCAAATCTCATATGATATGTGAGAGCTGTGGTACTGCCCGGGTGCCCAAATCGAAGCAGGTGGTTTTCTTGGGGGACCACACCTAGAGCCCATGACCTAAGGGTCTGATCCACAAGGTAGTGGAGCAACGTAAGGAGATGCAGTCCCATGGTAACCGCTTACCAACAATTGGTTCATACGCCATTTGTTCCTTTAGGATACTGGAGCTTATGTACACCATTGGTCTGGAATCAGGGTTTTCCAACTTCCCTAGGTGGACTCTCCATGTCCACCAACCCGGGTAAAGCGCTGGACATTCGCTTTTCGTCCTCTCAATTTCGTAAACAACAATAATGCCACGAGAAGGCAGTGAGTAGGACTTCCCTGGCATTGGTTGTATGCATGTGGTCATGTGAGAGCATTTCGAGAGGGAGAGTGAACTCTCCCCACTCTCGGCCGTACCAGGGCCATTATTTTGTTACCAGACCAATTTTATTAAAAGTTTTTTTCACTGTAACTCTAAATTCATAAATGTTTTTTAGTATTTCATGAATACAGTAAACGGCCAGGTGATGTCTTAAGTTCCGATTCTAATACATGAATGAATCCTGGCCAATATTTGTACCGCTACTTTACTAAGTATTGTTTAAAGTTGTATTATGTAGATAATTCTCTAACTGAACAGATGAAAACTGAATATTGTGGGGCTTCTTATCCTGCATATACGTTAGTCGTGAAGTAAACACAGCTGAATATGACTTTTTTCAAATAAATCATGCATGTCTTAAACTTACTACCCTGGGTGACACTTCACTATCTGCTTACTATATTTAAAAGATTACTTAAAAAAAATTTTTCTAACAAATTCTCTATTTCGTAAATTTAAAAAACCATTCAGTAGCAGTTTTGTTATAATTTGTTTGTTCACCAGTTATCAGTATTTATTCCTCGTCTTTCTATGTTTACTATATTGCTCATTCATTTTAGAAATGCACTTAAAATAGTTACAAATGACCTAATCGGACGGATTGATGAACTTTCATGGTTAGTGAAATATTGATTTTGTTTTTTTTTATTTTTATCGTAAAAAATGTAATCATTTTAGTTCTGCACCGTAGATGTCGTATATATTCATTCATAAAGCACTCTAGTTTTAACAATTAAGTTGTCCGGTGCAGACCCCTGAACATTTGCTTTGTATTAGCCAACCGAGTAGTATCATTAGTTTTCACATAAAAAGTATGATTCATATTAATTGCATAAACCTTGTGCTTGGTAAATGAATTATCTTGAGTTAGGATAATCTCACTGATACTTGCTGTCTTTTCATGGATTAATTTATTATGGTGTTTGTATGGGATCAATATGAGCATTGTACAATGAAATGACTTATGAAGAATGATCTATACATTTGTTTGTACTATCCAGTTGTTAACATGTTCTAAATTTTTCCTATAACTTGAGAAGTAACAGTTAAAACCCAAAGTTATATTTCTTGTAGTGTGTTTTAAATCATTATTACTAAAGGGAAAATTGATTAGTTCACACGTTTCAGCCTAACTGAAGGCAGTCAGTCAGTTATGTCAGTTTTAGATTCAATTAGTGGAAAAAACATCACTAGCTAATATACGTCAATGAGTTCCAACGAGCACTCAACTTCTGGAATACGGAGCACATGTTATTCACATAGTGAAATAGGCGAGATGTTTGAAGGTAATCGATCTGATGTCCTCCTTGACTAAATATGATTCCTGTTTACTTAAAGCCATTGATGCTTTTCACGAAGTGTGAACAATCTTTACTCAAAGCCTCAAGTAGATAAATATAGTCATTTGGCTTTTTCTGTAGTTCCGAAAAGTTTTTCTTACTTGTGTTATGACCAAATTAACATAATCATTTGACGTTCAGCATACAACATGATTAAATCTTTGTGTACATAAGTTAGGGAATTTAACCCGTTTCACCTTATGTCGATATCTCAATCTAATAACAAAACAATCTATATGGATAATTGTTAACTCGTTCACAATCTCATCGCTTCACCTCCTTATGATGTTATAAACGCATTCATGGTGATAAATAGTTAGATCAATAAATTACTTGACGTTACAGTATGTACTTATTTCTAGCCTCGTCATTCTGTAATCCTTTGATTGAAAGCCTATCGAAAGAAGTTCCAAACGAAAAAATGTGACTTTATTTTCAGGTTTGTGAGCGTTTCATGGAATAAGATAGTAAACTTGAAAATGAGATTAGTTAAATGGAGTCTTTCTTATATCCAGTTGACATTGTCCCCAACTGTAATAAAGTGTAATGAGTATAGCAGGTTATCCAACCTTCTATATCTATAAACTTAAATGCTTTAGATCGATAGATATTTTTTTCACATTTAAGCGCGTTTTATCACAGCAAATAAATCAATACTTCTATTTTATCTCTCTACTTTTATACCATTTGTGAGCGATTTTTTTTTGTATTGATTTTATTTTTCAGCCAAAATTTTCAGTTCTCATCTGAACTGAACGCTTTGATTACAAATCGTGCAAGTATGCTATTACGTATAAAAGATTTAGAACAAGAAAATGGTCAATTACGTCGAGAATTTGAAAATTGTGATTTGTATGGAAGTTTACCTGGTGATGAAATATCTGAGAGTGAAGTAGGTCTTTTATTCCAAGAACTTTTTTCACCATAAAGTTATTCTTGGTTTACACGATATGATTCTTGTTTTCCCTACATTTTCTCATTTCAATTTAAACTATCACAGAACATAATTTTGTAAGAGCTTTTACATATAATACTCGCAATATATATTACTCAAGTGTATACAAGTAGCTGATATTTGGCTGTTATTATGATTCATTTCAAAGACGGTTTTGCCATGCGACACTGACCGGTTTCGAATTATGTTATTCAAGGTCTAAGTTGTCAACATCACCACTGTTTTCAGTTTAATGAATTATTCATTTTATAAATGACAACCAACATTAGCTTAATTAGTAGTTTTTTGTGCATTTTTAGTAATCCCTACATTGATAGCATTACCTATCAGTGATCCATATAGACTGAATCAAACCAAACAATTTATTCTGAAAATAAAGACTGGTATATTGCTAAACATTTATGGGATATATATATATATATATATATATATATATATAATACACGGAGAAAGAAATGTATAAATTAATTTTAAACTCACAGTTTAAGGAAGGGAAGCTGGTCCAGATGGGTTGGCTCCAGAGATCTTTAAGAATTAGGTTAACTAATATTTTAGCTAAAATCTGGGAGTTGGACGTAATCCCATCTGACTGGTCACAATCACTTATCGTCCCAATATATATGAGAGGGTCAAAATCATACTGTTACAACCATAGAGGGATTAGTTTAACTAATATAGCATCTAAAATACTAGCCTCCATAATTATCGGACACCTAAGATTCGTGAACTGCAAACATGAGAGAATGAAGCTGGCTTCAAACCTGGTCGTGGCTGCATCGACCACATCGGCCGGTAACAACGTAGAACGTAGTGTCAAATGTTAATAGTTATGTTGCTCTTTGAAATTTTGGTGGTTGTTTTTTGTTATTGATATATACGTCCATTAATTATTCAATAGTTGAATATGTTCATATTCAATGTACACTGTTTTTTTTTATATTTCACCTAATATTTTCCTGTAAACAAAAAAAATCAATCGATATTTTGTACTTATCTCTTATTATATGTATTTCAAGTTTTCCCTTTTTTTATTTTATCTTTTCAGCATCTTCCATTATCTATGCGTTTTCGATTTTCACGTGTAGAAATGGCACGTGTTTTGCTAGAAAGAAATCAATATAAAGAACAATTATTAGAATTACAAGAAGCTGTTCATTTAACGCATAATTTAAAAGTTCAACAAACATCAAAACTGGCAAATACCATTCATGGTACTAAACGTGGACGTATTAGAGCCTTGTAAATTGTTTTTTTTTTACATTTTTTAAAATTAATTTGTATATATTTATCTTCCTTTTTTTGAAATCTAGTTTTGCTAAACTATTCAACTCACAACAATCATCTAGTAAATCATTTAATCTGTCAACATCTATGAACACTTCTCAATCAACAATACAATCTATGCGTAATTCAATATCCAGTTTAAGTACACCAAATGAATTTACAATATCTTCATCACTATCACAGATAAATGAAACAAATAATCCAAACACATCTATGTCAATTCAAAAGACTACAAGTGATAGTGATTTAAATCAACATCTAACAAATTGGAAAATTTCGATGAAACAAACATGTATTAGGTGAGTATCTTTGATTGGATAATAAAAGTTTAATACTTTTTTATAAAAAATATTATCGTTATATTTTACAACTCATCATTTATATTTACCATGACCTATCAGTTTTGTTGTTTGCCACTAAAATTCAATTTTAATTAATCAAGATAGTCATGGACGTTTTCAACTGCTATTGGTAAGGTGAATAATTATAGTCTTTGTTCAACTAGGAATGATACCTTCCAAAAATGCTTTATAATTGAACTTTTGGATTTTATATATTATATTACTACACAAATATTTTATGAGTTATTCTAGAAATTTTTTGGGAGATCTTATTTATCATCAACCATGAAACACTTCATTTGTACTGCCTATGAGAATGATCGGTAACTAGAAGCACTTAAGAATTTCATATTTGAGTCATCCGAGCTGTTTGTTCTAGACCTTCATACATTAGAAATTTTCGGAGCAGCCCATCTAATTCTACTTCTCATGACCATGACTACTGGTCTTTACCTCTAACATGTAGTAAATTCATGTCCACATATTATTCGACCCTTTCTAATAATATTTAGTTATTATGATTGACATTAGAATCGATAGGTATGCTTCCTGTCCTCTTCAAGACTTATCAGCTAGCAACATAGATCCATGAATTACGCGATCAGTTTGGGACACTACTTTATCATTGTTCTATCGGTAACCGTTTCGCTTACATAAATTATTGTTGATCGGCGTTAGTTAATGTCTATTCTCAGATCACTGGCGTTATATGCTTTTTTTCCTGTCAAAATATATATTTCATTATTTAGTTGAGCAGCTGGTAGACATTGATTCCATTCGAAGATAGTTTACCTTACAGTTTAATATATCACCTGGCAAACTATTGAAAATAAGACAGTGGGTTTTACATTCTAATTTGGGATTCTTCAATATGTCCACTCAAGAACTTCAGGTCTTGTTGTAAACCCAAAAGACTTAAGTCCTTCACATGAACCATCTTCATAAGTTTTCACTATGGATTACATAAAATTTATTCTCAACTAAATCCAGTGTATTTATATAGGGATTTAAATGATTCTACTGAGTCATCTCAAAGGAGGCATCAACGATGTACCTCTCCTATCCAGTGGTACTCGCACAGAAATGAACATACGTTGGACCGAAGAAATTTAAAAGTTGCCTACGTTTATCCATTGAATGATTATCCTAGCAGTGTAGAGGTAAGTGTATGTTATTCTTTATACTACCATTTACATCGCTCTACGCAATATCTGAGTATCACTCCTATTTGATGACTGACTTACTAGGTTTTAGTAAAAATCAAGACATTTTTTCATCATGCTTAGCTACCATTTGTCATAATGCATAATGTTAGTTGGGATTAAACTGACTTCTATAAAGCTTCAGAAGAAAAAGAAAAAGAAATGGCATTAATACACAACCTATTATATCGATAACGGTAGGACAAATGCTTTTAACTATGCTTCATCACTTTATTACTGATCCGGTCTGTTGGCTATGCGCACTACTTCCGTTGCGTCTCAAGATTTTTACACCCTATCTAAAATTATATCATTTCATCAGCTAATTGTTTCAATGTATCATTTTAAAAATGGAACAAAATGCCTTCCTAAGTAAAAACCAAGAAAACTATATAAGCATAACTAAGTATGAGCATTCTACTTATCATTAATATGAATTTACTATACCATATGGGACTAATATAAATACATTATTGTTACTGATCTGTGTTATATAACTTATCAGCATCTGATTACTAAATTTTGGCATATATATATATATATATATATATATATATATATATATATATATATATATATATATATATATATATATATATATATATAAATGCTTGTTTGGATGCCCTTAAATTTTTGTTGTCCAATAAATGCGTTTTACTGTACTATAACATACTATTTAATTCTATCCTATTTCCAAAAATCAAATTCTGAATTATTTTATTGTCGAATGTTTATTGTATAGATAAACTAATGGAATCTAGTTGTGAGCGAATCGCTCATCGTATTTATCCGATTTTATAATGAACGTTGCAATATTTTCCACAGGATAACTGCATTTTTATCTATGGGATTTTCATTTATTATGAAACTCATTATCAATAATTATCGATGAGTAATGGAGAACATTTGCTCTATTATGTAGGAAGTTACCAAGTGTTTCTTTAATGTTCAATCAGTTAACATTGGGTTGTTTGATATATTTGAACCAACAACTTCCTTATAACTAACTTCAGTGGATATCCGGTGCTTTAACCGGGTTGGTGCCACGGAGAGTACACCTGGGGGAGTTGGAAAACCCTGATTCCAACCTAATAGTGTACATGAAATCCAGGATCCTGAAGGAACAAATGGCGTATGAACCAATCGTCGGTCACCGGCTACCATGTGACTGCATCTTCTGACGTTGCTCCACTACCTTGTGGATCAGACCTTTAGGTCATGGGCTCTAGGTGTGGCCTCCTAAGAAAACCACCTGCATCGGTTTGGGCACCCGGGAAGTATCCCAGCCCTCAAATAAATCGAAGGATTTATGTGGCGCATATGTATTTGGTGCCTCCTTGTATCAATGTTTATGTGTTTAAGTAATAATAAATATGCAGGTTCGAACTCCGCTACCTCTACTGCAGTGTAGACATCCTAGTAATATGATAATTGTGACTTGAAGTCAATCGCATATGCCTGTACTTCGTAAATCAATGACCTAGGCAGGTAAATCATTATTTCTTACAGGCAGTTTGATCAACGTTGTCCAAAACGTGATTCATCACAGAATTTGAACCAACAACTTGCTTATAACTAACTTCAGACTCCTAGTACGTTACCATCAAACAGGCTCAACAGTTTTGTAAATGCAATCTAAACGGATTAAAATATCACTGAAGTCTGCAAATTGTTGATAAAACAAACTGTTTACGATCTTGTAAAAGGTTCCAAAATAAATTGAGCTCCTGTACCAAGATTATCTTTGTATTGAAATTGAGACGCCTGATTATGATCCTTGAAAAAATTATTTCAGCATATAAACTAGAACACTGTTTATTGTATGTTTCGGTGTTATTTTGATGTGAGGTTCTCAGATAACCTATCTATATGCTTACTAGTTAGTGAGGAATATCGAAACCTCAAGGTGATTTTAAGAGTTATTCATGTCCTTCAGTTCAGTACAATTACAATTACACGAGTTTTTCAGTCTTTTATATATTATTACATTTCTCATTTTGCTTCAAGCTACGTTGCGCAGCAGTCACATATCCATATCACTCTACGTCTCACTCATCTGCTTCATCACCTACCATGAACAATTTACTTTTCACTGCTTACTTCAGAAATCAATTAGAATCCTCTAAAGATGACGATTATGTCAATACTACCGTATTGTCTACATACAGTAATTCAGATCAATTAGAACATCCTAAATCACACGAACAACAACAGTCAAAAGTGGGAATTTTCAAAAAATCGATGTATAATCATTCTATTGGTAATTTATCCAGTGATCATGATTCTCTTGATTATTCAGCGGTAATCGACGATCAAGTAAATTTTGTTCATCTTCGTGTTTGTATAATTGTTAAACTCTTGTACTTATGAATTCCATGTGATTTAATCGGAATTGTTTGTAGTGATATTAATCTAATTAAAAAATAGATTTTTTTATGAGCTTGCATCACTGAGAGAACCATTGTAACTAATAGTAATAAGATACCGATGCAATAGTTTTAATTTATCACCCCCTTCATGAAACCTAAATTTCATAGGGTGGATTTTTGAGTTTTTTCAGTGCGCACTGCTACTGAAGTGTCCCGAATCAGGACGGTTTAATAGATGTTTGGTGGACCATAGTTTTCAGTAGTTATCTAGCTTCTTTCAGCTCGTGATCAAAAATAATAATCGACATTCTTATAAAATTTGCAAAATATATTAGAAATCCCTATCTTGTTGTTCTAACTACATGTCTGTATTGATTTGCTAAGTACATTAAAATTCTGAACAGTCTCAAAAAGCTCATTTAAGTTAAATGCATGACTATCACTTGAGTTCTAGGGTATATATCATATCATATCTTTAGCTAAGTCCATATTTTCTATAGAGTGTGTTGCCTTACTATTCGTAAATAATCGAAGTTGTACTCGAAATATGGTAACTGATTACTCAACGACAAACACTATTATATTGTCTAGGCCTTAGTACTGATTAAGTTCTATGAATCAGGTTTCAGTGACTCAAAGTTATGATAAACGTTTTATGACATAAAGAAGCTGGAGCCATTTGATAAGACCATAAATTTAAGCTTTATATTAATTGACACATGTAAGCGTGTATCTGCGTTTTTTAGAACACTATATCAATCAGTATAAACGTTTCGGTTCTACAGAAAGCAAGTCACAGATAAAGTATATATGTTAATTCCTTTAAATGTAATACCTGGTGACTTGTATTTAAATCACATCATAGTACTGGTTTCCTAAATGCACTTTGTTGATGAATAGCAACTAGCATGAGACCTAGGTCTAGGACGTTGTTTTGGATTGTTTCTAATGACTTGAAACCTTCCAATCTTTCTCACCATGTTGCCAAATCTGATTTTTCTTAAATAACTAACTCAGAATTTTGATTCTTATATTGCTAAATCACTTTGGTTTCAATCTTTAGTTTTCAGATGTTCAATCAAATATTATCTGGTTAAGTTCTTTCTCTTTGAAACATGACTTAACAGCAATAAAAGCTCCGTCTTCTTCTTCATCAACATCATCGTCATCATCTACAGCGTTCACCAGTTCAGATTATTCTGGGAGAATAAAAAGTTTAATCACTATTTTACATGTAGATTATAAATCATGTCAATCGGTTGATTCATTTGCTATCTGTAGTTCGACAGTTTTATGCATATGCAGTGTCCCAGGTGGGTGAATGATGTCCTCTTTCAAAATTTCCTCGTATTTTATCCCACTTTTTCTTCCCGTAATTTCTAACGGTTGAGAGATTTACAAATTTTCTCTTCTGTACAAGAAAGATTAATCAATTACATAAACAGTTCAGAGTTAATTCACATCTTCAACCATCAGAATTATCCCATTCGATAAGTTTGTTTACATACGTATACTTGAGCTAACAAAAAAGGTTGTCTTCATGGAATTCTAACATCGTATTATGATGAACAATCGTATTTTTCTCGTTCAAATAAAATCAATTATCAGTAGTTGTTTGGCGATTGTTAATAATCCTTTGTTTAAGTAATGAATATGGGAATTCTTGAATGTATATTTTGTGAAACAGTTGATACATTGGTGGTGATCATAACACTGGAAATAGAACTACGCACCAATAACCAATAAATATTGTGTTACAGAAGATTTGATGAGTGAGATCTATATAAATCCATGGTCTTAATCTTTCAGTAGATATAATAATAGCTAAATTCTTTACTAGTTATTACTCACATTAAATATTGATTTCAGTGGGTAATAATAATTATGTTTAGATAATTTTGGCAAACTTTATTTATTTAGCAATAGAGGATGATGGATGCTTATCCTCTGCTCTTATTGGGTCACTTGATTGTATTTGTTTCTGAAGCCATTTGGGTACATGTTCACTCACCCTAATGTTTAGATCACGATTACTCCTCCCTATGTATGTGTGACCACACACACATTTAAATTGGTAAACACAGTGGGATGTGACGCAATCGTTTCCATGTACTTTAGGTTTTGAATGAAGCATGCACCTTGTTCTTTCTTTGATGATAACCTTTGCTGCGCAATAGGTTTTATTGATAACTGATTTAAGTCGTTGTTTCAATAAAAGGCTATTTGATTCACCTCTGAATGGTAAGGTGATGTAGACAGGCTTTTTCTCTACCGAGGCTACAGTAGGTCTCGCTGTACCATGGACTTTCCATCTATTTATGAATTTCAGAGGATAGCCATTTTCTATTAACGTTTTATTTAACAACTTAACATCATCATCAATGGCGTCATTGGTACAAATACGGTCGAGTCTGTTGAAAAGACACCTTATCAAACCACGTTTGTATTGCACAGGGCAATAACTATAATAACTAAGACATTGACCTGTCCACGTTGGTTTTCTAAAAGTAGATCGCTTGACTGAACCATCTTCTCGTCTACTCAGGAGTATATCTAGGAAGGGAAGCTGATCGTTTTTCTCCCCTTCACATGAGAGACTAGTATGGTTTTGGAGAGTGTTGAGTTTATTTAATGAACCGTACATATCCTCTTTTTTCTCACAAACAACTAAGATATCGTCCACATATCTCTTATAAAGTGACATGTTTCCGATTAATTCATCAGTCTGATTTTCAACATGTGCCATCAACACATCTGCTAGTAATGGTCCTAGCGGACTACCCATAGCAACTCCATCAGTCTGACGAAAGTATTCACCTTCAAAAGTGAACTGAACTTTGTCAGTACATAGTAATAGTAAATCTTTAAGAAGTTTTACAGGTACACGTGATTGAAAATTGTTTTCAGATATGTAATCACATAATATATCAATGGTTTTTTTAAAATGTACATTTGTAAACAAGGAATTTACATCAGATGAACACATTGTCTTTTCCTTGATATTAATATAATCTAAATGATCAACCAGTTCAAAAGAATCCTTTAGAGAATACTTACATAGATGTCTTCGAATAGGGTCCAACAACTTTGCTAACCATTTAGCCAGATTATGTGTAGGCGATCTGCACATTGATAGAATTGGACGTAAAGGAACATTAGGTTTGTGAACTTTAGGCAGTCCATATAAATGAGGGTACTCGGAACCCATAGGTTTTAGAAAGTTTAATTCCTCTTTATTAATAATATTCATGAGTAGCAATTTTTCTAGGTTTGAATTTACTCTTCTTTCTAGTTTGCTGATATCTCCAAATTCAACATCAGGCATGAATTTACTTTCATCACTAAGGATGGATAACATCTTACTTTTATATTCACATTTATTCATGATAACTACGCCTGATCCTTTATCAGGTTTTAACAAGACAATATCAGAGTTTGATCGTAGTTCTTTTAATGATTTAAAATGATGAGAAGTTAATATGCTTCTCTGCTTCGGGCCAACACTATGAAATTGGTGTGCCATATCCACTAGTTTAGCTTTACACCAGCTTTGATTATTTGAAGACGTAGGGGTTAGAGTACTCAGTTGATCATATAGATTTTCAAACTGGGCATTTATTTCCAATTCAGACATTTGCGTTATAGGGAAGGAGAAATTAAAACCAAGAGAAAGGGCTTCCTTTTCATTAGCAGATAACACAATGGAGGATAAATTAGTGACATACTTTTCAGGATTTACTGGGAACAAATTAACTTGATTAGTAATAATACAAGATTTTTCAAGCTTTTTACTGATCCTTTCCTTTGTTTTCGAAATGACATTACTGCAAAAGTTGGTGAATTTAATATGGCAGACTATAGATATTTCATTTAATATAGGCAATGCTTGAGTGTGTAATTCAATTAAATTGATCAGTTTGTCTTGGCACTTATCTATATATGATTTCGACAATCGAATAAGATTTGAAATATTTGGTTGTAATTTACTTGAACGTAAATTCTTGTATAGTTGATTTGGGAATATGTGACTCGACAAACAAGATTTATAGAAGTTCAGTTTCACGCGTTCCGATACAATTTTACATTTAAGGTTGACAAGTTCATCTAACCTTTTGATAGTATGTGCAGGGAGTCTTCTTTTAAGAAATTTAAAACAATTAGTCCCTTTGATAAATTTCGATAATGATATTAGAAGACGAAGATTATTTATTAATGAAACTGTTTTAGCTCATGTGTATCAACTATTTATTAAAGTGTGTTATAATACAAAAAATTAATAAACATTTGAACTTTTGTTATACTACGTGATAAAGAAAAGGTTATCTAATTTAAACTTATTTTTCTAAATATATCATGTCCTATCGTGAGATCTATAGGTCTCAGATTCGGTCTCATAAGTCATCGCGTGCGCTCACTACTGAGTATTCCGTTCAATTGGACGAAAGGGCTGTGGAGTTTTCACCAATTTTCAACCATCCCGGTACTGTATACCATCTTGCAAAAAAGCCGTTTCCATTAAACCTCATTTTTATGTGTGTATTGGATTTCAGAAGCATCAGTCGAAGATTTAACCTGCTTGGAAAATACAGATCATTATTGGAAAATGTTGCCAATGGATTCATTTTCTGGTGATTTAGAAACTGGTCAGTCTTTCACTGCGGATATGTTAGAAACGAAAACAAAAAAGTACGATGTGAATGCCCCTTGTTCATTAAATGAATGTACAGAATTTAAATTCCTTGATTGTGACAATACTAACAATAACACTCCACAGAAAATAAATAAAATTGTTCAAGAAAGTAAATATCATAGAACGTCAACACCAACATCATCATCTTCATCACATTTTTCATCTATTAAACAAGCGATTGATCATTTATCATCTACACGACGATTGGTTAATGCACTTGGAATTATTGGTTCAGTGAATGATGTTGATGAAGTGACAATGTCTTATGTAGCGACAAGAAGACGTTTTCTTATACATCATGCAGATTGTTACTCCTGTATTAGTAATAACGGTGATTGTGCTGTTCAGCCTTCCAATGAAATGTTTAGTAGTAAGTGCTTATCATTCTTTCAAATTAGCCATTTTGTATCATCCGTAACTCAACAATACTTACATGCAGACAACTCCGTATATTAAACATTTATTCAACGACAAAAAAATATTCACAGTGAAATTTAAAGTTGGTTAAAACCCGTAACTATCTAAACACTGTTAACATAACCGGTGACGTTTACCTCGAATGCTCATTTTCACACTTGTGATGAAACTAGCATACAACCTTGTTAATTATTGTTATTTTGATTGATGAATTCATTTTTTGATAGGTTCCAGATGTAAACGTCCACTGATAGAAATTTTCAGATTTCTGACACTTAATTTTATAAATTATTCAGCTAATATACTATGTAAGTGTAAACTCTATCCGAAGAATTTATCAATTCACTAAAAACTGTTGTCATGATGTCATCATTTTTCCAAACATCCATGTGATTTATAAGAAAACGTTTTTTCCTGTTATTGATGTTAAAGATTACAAGTGACCAGCCTCTATAGGCATATATTAACCTTAAACCGATCGCCTTGATAAAGCCTTTAGTCAAAAGTTTGGCATGTAGGTAGCACTGAAATCGAGGAGGCCTATTTCATACTATTTGGGGCTCGTTAGCTAGATGCATATGCTTTCCATTGTTGATGTTCGTACTGAGACTCGGACCTAGCATCTTTCGGTTCAAGCACTAACGCGGTATTTGCTTAGTTATGAGGATGTATTTTATGTGTGAGGGTTCATATTTTTCCGTTCTTACATGTCCCAAACCGTACAAAATGTTCGTTCTAAATCCCACAGATAACCACATACCAAATTTGCTTTAGAAAAGCTTTGAAATTTGTCCAAGTTAGTTAATTATGTCTGTTAACCTCACGTGCTTACACACCTTCGTAAATTGCTTGCAACGTACTACAAATCTAATTATGTAGAAACTACCACAAAGGTAGTTCGTATATTCCCTTTTTTCTCTGTCTTATGGAGAAACAAGAAGCGATTACAACGGAATTCATACGCTGAATATATTCATTTATGGAAAGAGATATCACTGAGGATGGAATAGTCGTAATCATTTACATATTAATATGAAAGAGAGCTAATTACTGTTTAAAAACGTTTTATAAATATTTTTTGTGTATTTTTGCCCATAAAACGAGAATTATGTAGTCATTCTGCATATTTTGTGCTGAGATTTCTTTACTGAGATATAGCGAGTATTGCTATTGTTCGCTCGTTTACTCCTCTATTAAGTTGCCCCCTCATTCAGAATTCGGTTAATACACTTTACTATTGATTAACTTACAAATAATATACTTTTTACTTGCATTTCCAATTTACTTATAGGTTTTTCTTGATTGTTATAATCCTTTGAAAAACTGTAATATTCATCCAAATTTTTGTAATTGAATGAAGTTTCTACTAGTTGAATCTAGTAGAAATTATATGATATAACGGATATTTAAAATATTTTTTCTCGCTCACGTATATTACGATAATACATCAATAAGACTAATCACGTTATATCAGAACCTGATTAATACAAGACAATATTTTATTGATTACAATTACAAGCAGTCACACTCAGTGAGTCCGGAGCAGAAATCAATGACAGAAAGGGAAACCACATATTTAATAGTCCGTAAGCTGTGGTTTTTTGTCCACGCCTAACGATTTACTGTATTTTACTTACACTACCACACATCATTATATGAAATAACTAAATAACTTTGATCACAGTGACTTAGCTAACACTAAGTTATAACGTATGTGTTATGACCTTGGATGTCTGACTTTTCGATCACACGATTTATCTACCAATCCGAATACGACTTATACGAATCTTCACACTAGGCCAACCAATGACGTTCAACCGGTGTGGGCAGTTTAGCGTCCTTATTGGTCCTATGTCCTACGAGCCCTTCCACTTGAGTTCAGAACACAATACCAGCTTCGAATCAGAGCAGATCAGACCAGATCGTTTATTTCAAACATACTCAGTTTATATATCAACCAGACAGACCGCAACGTACCATAAAATAGGAAATAATATTTGTACACAAATAAGCCCAAAAAGTGGCTGTGAATGAGGGAGGCGGTAGTTAGTAAACTGAACATAACTTAAGAACCGTAAATCGTACAATAATAAATTATAGGTCAAAATAAAGCTTATAATAAGAGGGATATAAATATACATAACGTAATTGTTGAATAGTTATACAATAAGAATATTTATAGAATATTAGTCTATGAATAGTCCTCGGAAGTTACCTGTAATTTAATCTTCACCGGATATAACAGTATGTTGTTAAATCACTTTAAATAGTGATGAGTGGTGAAATCTAGTACTTGTAATTGATATAACTTGGAATACCTTAAGTAGTTGTATTCGCATTTTTGTGTTGATATTTACACAAAACTGGGTTCAATAAGATATTGACAATATAGAAGCATCTAATTAGGTATTTCGTATATTATCGAACTCATCAGAATCGGAAAGATTGAAACTTAAGCACTAAAAAGCCTTATTTTCAATAGTACATGTGTTCTCTGGTAAATTATTGAAATCCACTGTCTGTTATTAACATTCTACATTTCTACTTCTTCCATAGGTCATTCGTCTACTACTAATGACGATTTGGTGACACAATATCCTTGTTCATCATCTACACAGCATAGTCACTATCAATATTCTTCTAGAAAATATTATTCCAGATATTCTGCATCACCTACCAGTGCTCAACCAACTGTCTGGTTAGGTTGTCAAAATGGTGATTTATATGTTCATTCATCTGTATCTGATTGGCGTAAATGTTTACATGCAATACGTTTACCTGATTCGGTAACACAAATCTGGTGTGTTTTAAGTTTGTGATGTTTAACGCGGTTAATTTTGCTGTTTTATGTGTAATATTTGGGTTCTGCACTTCATGACCGTGTTAAGCTATTTATTTTATGGACACATTGAGATCTTGTTACACTTGTTAGTAAACACCAATAGCCATTGAGAGAATTCTGTCAATTAGTTGATGTTGGAAATGAGTGATGAAACGGCATCTTTTACCGAAATATAGTTGTCTCAAGTCAATTACTGATCAGAATTCGTACAGCTCAGTGACTACTTAAGATAGTATCAGATGTAGCCTAGAATAAAGTCCAATAAGCATTCTCCCTTTAGTTTCCACTTGTATTTCTCTGTGATAGTGAAATGCACTTTCCAACTGAATGAATTCTCCCATAGATGTGTTCTAAACTCGATTTTACTAAATTAATCCTTACTATTCGTGTATTTTTGTAAACGGTTTTTTCTCATCTTCTTCTTTATAATATTATCATTTTGATTTGTGTGACACATTTCTAGCAATTGCATTATATTATCGGTCATGTTTATGTGTTATGATGAAATATTTTGTTAAGCTAATCTATCTCCTTTCTTCTCTCAAATAATTTACTCTGTTTTACTAATCAAATTTATTCTATTTATATCGATTTATAATTTTACCTTGTTATATGGTTTATAATAATTTTTCCAATTATACATTCCCTTTGTCTATCATTATCATTCGACAGAAATTAATTTCATCTATATACATTTCACAAAAATATGTTGAAACTGAAGTTAATTGTTATTTATTATAAGGTCGCGCACACACGCTCGTGCATGTATAATTTACCTGATGAAGTTCTAGTGTTTCACCACTGGCATCGATTTTTTATCATGCTGGATAAAACGATATAATAATAAGAACGTTTTAATGTACGAATAAACATTAATCAAACCACGTAACAGAGAAATTCACATTTTTTCTATACATTTCGTTTCCATAATAGCATACAACTGTCATAATAATAATAATAATAATAATAATAATAATAATAATAATAATAATAATAATAATAAAAGGTTAGTAGTAAACATAACTAATGTAAATCAACCATGTTGTAGTGAACTTTGTGACTTTCATGCTTCCAGGGTTTTCACAGCTATTTTCATCTCTCTCTTGATGTTGTTTCTGTTTCTCAGTTAGAAAACAAAGTTTATAAACCTTTAATTGGTGATGTCCGTTATAATAAAAGTTACTTTAATTTAAGCAAGTTTGGTTAATAATGGTGAATATAAATTGTCACAGACAGCATTGTATGTTATCAATTTAGCAGACGAAATAACTGGAGACTCCACATGACATAACTCACAGACAAGCAAAATCAAGCTGGTTTCATTTCCTACTATGTTTGTTTAAATCTTAAACACTTCGTTACTCGATGTCCATACATAAATTGTGTATTTTCTACTATGGTTATCTTTCTCGTTGATTCCTTTTCCTGTGTTGTTGTTAAATGTACCAGCAAACTCCACGTTATTTGGTTTCGCCAAATTTATGTATTAGCTAACCTCACAATGTTTCATATTAAGCTTCCCAGTTTTTTCCTATATCATTTCGTATAAAACTTCATTTTAGTTTTTTACTTCCTTCTGTGGTTAAGTTGACCGTCTAGGCGTTGATGACTCATTTTCTTCATACATTTGCATCTATTATCTTCACCATTCATGAATGGTGTTTTTTATTTCTATCCCTGTATACAAATAATTGCTGATGTGAAAAGGATTGTATTTTCATCTGTCTTCAACATACAATCTATTTGATTTAGGAGATTCAATTTTATGCTGCGTGTATTATTATAAATATTCAATGATCGGAATGGGATCACGCTTTGTTCAGTGATTTGAGTAGTTTAACTGATAGCATTTATTAGCTTTATCAACAAATCTGTGTTCTCATTTGTATCACGAACCGATCTAAGTCAGACAACCATCTAGAACCTAAAAGCACTCAATGGCCGTTCCATTGTAGTATGGGATTTCTCAGCTGTGCGAACCTGTGACCCCTCAACCGCAGGTCGAGTCCAGGACCTTCGGCCTCGTACTCAAACGCTTAACCTGTAAACCAATGATCTGTTATTGAATGGTGCACATGACTAACTTTAATTAATCCACGATATTACGTGACCATTTGTGTGTAATGGTCCAAGAATAAACTTTCACCTTTATACTGATCTGTCACCTTGATGTGCTAAATTACACAACATTGAGTGAAATATGAAGCTACCGTTTGTAAACTAAGCCTGACAACTCATCTTGCTAACAATTGTAAGCTCTAAACTGTAATCTGATTAGCGTTCTAGTTTCTTCTTCCTATTACTTCATCTGCTTTCCTTTACATGCTGTTGCCAAATTGCTTTTAAGTTGATTAAGACTTTTATTGTATTTCACAGTCATCTTGCCGGACGAGTATTTGTCAGCTTAGCGAATGGTCAAATAGTCGTTTTTCGGCGTCATCGTTTTCATCGAACTAATAATGGTAATTCATGTCTAGGTCATTCATTGTCTAGTCTGTCAATTAAGCATGCACCAATTGTCAGTTCAACATCTATGTCATCGTCATTATCTAATTTACCGGATAATCATATTACATCTACTGACCAATGCAATACTCTTCACAACTCTAATCTGAATTCATCTAATGATAATAATAATAATATAATATTGGGATCATGGGATTTTACTGAAGCATGTGTTATTACGTGTGGACGTCCTCAATGTTCTGTTAGTTGTACAATAACTGTACCATCAACAAATTCTTTATGGGCTGCTTATCGTAATCGTATCTTAGTTATTAATGCATTTACGCTTCAATTAGTTGACTGGTAAGTTTAATACATTTTTCGAATGTTTATTTGTAGTAAACTTTTTGTTTGTTCAACAGTTCATAATTTTTAATTCATTAATTTTTTAATAATTAAAAAGAAAGTCTTCAATAGTAAAGTTTTAGCTAAAAATTGAAGGTGATATTCACCAACTTATTTTTAGAGTTAAAATTCTTCATTAATTTTAATATACTCAATTGAATAATAAAAACAAAACTGTTATAATATAGTTCCGTTAGGACTTTTTGTCAAATGAATACTGATTAATGTCTTTTTGTCTTCTTGTTTTTCCTTTAAAATGAAATAGTTTTAAAGTTCATGCAATTCAAGATGCACAAATACAAACAATGTCTTGGTACAAAGATGGTGTATGGATCTCAATAAGACGTGAATCTATCTTACGTTTGTATCATGTTATTAGCCATGAATTAATACAAACGTTAGATTTAAATCAAGTGATTATGAATTTGTTGTGTAAGTTTGTTATTCTTTTGAAATAACCTCTTGACTAATAATTTCATGTTTTCCTTTGTTTCTAAAGTTAAACACTCATTAATACAAAAATTGATGTAGATATGTTATAATCCAAGTTACCACACTTCATATTAACACAGAAAGATAAAATTAATGAAAGAAAGTTTCTAGTGGCATAAATAATAGTAAGTAAAGCTGAAAGCATACTTTACTGACACTTCAATGGGCTTGAGAATGCAAACCCAGTTTTTACACCAATCAAAATACTGACGAATTAATTGAATAATTTACCATATGAAAATCCGAGAATATGCTACGATCATGAGTTTGGGTCAAAAATTTAATCAAGATTGAAATTTTATCGCACACATACTTAGTAAAGCACTATATATGAAGTAAATAAAAGACCAGTCAGACAAATTAACAGATAAAAAAGCAAAGTACAAAATATGAAAACGAGGCTGGATAATAAATGATTATTACGAGAGTGAAAACACACAGACGAAGTTACAGTTTTCGTATGGTCAATGCTTCAATAAACCTTAGTATATATATAGAAAGGGGAATGCGTTCGACAGGTTAATGGAGTAGTCATCAGTAGTCCTTTATGATCATTATTGGTTGATGTGTTCCTAGCATATGTGGAAAACGTAGTTCAAGATTTAATTCAATAGACATGTCAGCGAAGACGGTTTGTGGACGACATTATAATCATAAGTGGTAAATGTGAACATGTGAACCTCTTGTTAGAGGAATTCAACACACTTCAAAAGCGTATTTATTTTATATGTAATGAAGGGATGAATAACCAACTCTCCTTTCTAGACATAGTGATTAGAAGAGAGAGATTTATGTAAGTATACTGTAATACTACTTCACACTAATAAGTACTATAGATCAAAGTAACAGATATTTTTTCATTTTTAGCTAACATAAATTCATCAGATTGTGGAAATATTTCAAAACTTAAATCATCTAGTTTAGCTATCACTGCTTTAAAGTCGATGAATGACCGTCTATGGATTGGAACTAGTGCTGGGCTCATCATTACAATCCAGTTTCAAGACTCTTTATTTAACAGAACATTTCAACAAACATCATGTGAGCGTCAAAAAGGTAAATGACTTAGTGTTCTCTCAGATTTGTTCTCATATAAAGTTTTTCAGTCGAGATATATGATAAGTTGTTACTCAGATTATCTTTCGATCAAACCTTATATTGCTTTCACGCACTTTGAGTGAACAAAGTCTTCAATAAGTTAACTTTTGGGTATTTTAGTTAAATGATTATCTTAAAAAACGAAACATACCTTGTAACTGTTCTAAATTCAATCTGATTACAATGATAAAATATCTATTCCTCTATTGTTTGCAATTTAAAATTGATATTGTCAATGAACTTTTATAATAGCTTTTATCTAGACTAGTTCCTGTGGGAAATACAAGCATATGTATCATCCAATAAGATAGGTTAATATTCAGGTATTTTCATATCTACCACTACAATTGATTAAGATAATCAGAATTTGTATATTAGTTTATTTGATAAATACATACTCATGTAGTTAATACAAACCATCAAACCGATATGGATGTAGCATTCAGAGTTATCTGTTTTATCCCATCCAACAAGCTTTATGCTTCCAGATGTCGTGTCGTACACAAAGTGAAGCACACCTAAATAAACCTAATGATTGCTTTTCAGGAAATGTTTGTGCACCCTTTCTCTTTGTATTTAACTAACCCTACACTTGCGGTTACATCTTTCATATATTTTCCCTGTTTATTCTTATGTAATCACCGAATCCTAAATCCAAACTAACACTTACATTTCCCTTTCATTCTCATTTCTAAATAATCAGTTTCACGTTATCCTACGTTAAATAACATAAGTAAGCACGATGAGGAGGACTTATCAGGATGTTATGATGATAGGTCAGGGAATTCCAGACTAACCGTTTCTGTCTCTACACCACATGATTTATGAGAGGCCCAAATGTATGTGGGCCATTCCGAGTTATTCATCTACACATGGTTGTTCCCCGCATATCGCTGTTTTGATTAGTCTTGTTACTTATTTACCCACGCGTTGTGTACATTATTATTTGGTCTTTGGCTAAAAGCTTCCTACTGATTATTCACCCTCACAACGCTCAGCTTATTGAGCATGTGTGTCTTGTATCTGAATAAGACCAGAACACAACACACTGTTCCAAGAAAATTTAGGATTGAAACCAAAGAAAGTATTCGGTGCAAAAAAACGTGTTCACTTGTTATTTTCATTTTCCGCAAACCGACTGGTCATTATTATTGTGCATTATGTGATGTACCACTTTCACACCATTTCATCTTTTATCTCTTATGTAACGCATTGCGCAATAAACGAAGTAAATGTTATGACCGCTTATTATTGTTATCCGCACTATTTCGATCTCTATTATATCTTATACTTAGGCCGGCTAACCTCTATGGATTTTGTATTTTATGTATAATCCTATTCGAATATACTGTTAGTTACAGAATTTATCTACTCCCGTTGCTTGGCTCTTACGTCGAATTTCAAGTAACTGCCTGAATTTTCGGACTGATTACAGCATTAAGTAGCAGCTAACAGTAAAATTGAAACGATGTCGATTTATCCATATGTGATGTTTTTTAAATCAAACAAAACACATCTTGGATTCCACTCCAGGTCACTTACTTATCATGTATGTCATCATTCACAAGTACATAAATCCTAACGCTCAGAAGATAAGTATGGCTGAAAAGCTACTGGTAAGATTTGTACTTTGGTATCAATCTGCATTGAGACGGCATATGAGAATTGTCGTATGATTAGGTTAGTAAGATTTCCATTTTGTACATACCGTTCAATATGATATTGTGTTAAATTAACTCATATTGTTACAATTTTTGTTGCACAATTAATAGACTCTGCGAATTTATCAAAACGTATTTGTAAAGCCATCTTAGATTGCTCGTCTGCACAGGTATGTTGTTATTATTTTCATGTATTTATTATTTTAACTTATCTATTCATTTGTGATGAAACGATTTTGTACTTGCGGACCAATCGGTTCCATGAAAGCGAATTTTAATTTTTGACGTTAAATTCAAAAATGGTTGTCAGCTAATATTCACCTCGTGAGAAGTTCTATACACTAATACCTTTATATGATATTTGAATTTCGTTGACGTTCTGGTGAATCTACTCAAAAACACAATGAAGACCATGAGAGATCTTTTAAAGAAATATTTATGGTGTTATAAATAACCAAAAGAATACTTTAATTTTAAGGTTGAACGAACTGATTACAAAGCGTGGAATAAAATCTTATAACTATTAGATGACTTATTTTTCTAGCAATATATTTCTTGATTCGGTCAATGTATTTATGGACTATTTATGGTATAATCCTATTCTGGCTACGTTTGTTCAGACTTGATTTTTCTAATATTTTAAGAGCTTTTTTATGTAACAAAATCCGATGTGAACGAACAAAAAAACTATTAGAAATTTAAAGGTAACTTATGCTTGTTTCTTTCTACACATTGACGACAATAAGCCTTTTATTATAATTGCAATTATATATATATAATAACAGAATACATGGCGGTTTGCAGGCTTGATCAACTTTTAATTATTTTTAAGTGGACATCCTTTTTATCGATAAATAATGTACTCAAGATCATTTCCTGCGCTTCAACGAGTCAATTAAAATAATCTACAACTAGAGAAAATAAAACTGAAAAGGAAGAGCGCGATACAACTACCATAATACATGTGCCAGGTTATTTTGATAATACAGTTCGTGTTAGATATCATTCAAATTAGTTAAGGCCATCAGGGCCGGTGTTAGTGTAAAGTGACAGCAGCTAAGGGAGTTTACCTAGTGGGTTTAATAGTAAAAACTATTAAACATTTAAAGTTCCTATTGATGTCGCTTGCGGGACGAGATATACTTACAGGTGTAAGAACACTCAAAGCATTTTCAGGGAAGTAAGCATCGGTGCATCGAATAAAGGCTGTAAGTGAATTTATCTCACGGAAATATTGTGGTAAATTATTCTAGAGTCTGGAAAATTTACTGATAAAGTGATTGATGCAGAGAGAAGGCTTAGAATGTAATTGTTTCACTAATGACAAAGAATTACTGATGTTGTAACTATGAGTTTCTACATATTGGATTGCTTCATCTGATGTAAATTATTAGATTTAGACTAAGTCTCTTCCGGAAAGGATCGAGTCCACAATTATTTCATCTGAAATTATAATTTAAGATACAATCAGTCTCAAAAAAAGCGAAGTGTGAATCGTTTGTGAACGGATTCCAGCCTTAATTCATTCTTTATGCGAACACTCGGAAGAATAAATGTGCAATTGGGGTTAAGCTAATGGGGTATTGCCTAGTAGTTAGTCTTGTCCATCAGGAAAATAACGAAAAAATTCATATTATACAGACTCAGTATATAAAAATTTCGGGTGCAACCATGGGACACGTTTGTTCCTTGTAACCTGTTTGACATTAGGTCTGCTTAGACCGAGGTTGTGTTAGTCGTTTCGTGCGTCAGTTGCGAAAACCATATTTCATCGATTTGGAAAGTGGTGTTTTGACAAGTCACCTATTGTATGTAGGTTCAGCTGGGATGAAGAAATGGTGGATCAACCAGTTCTTGTCCATGTACCCATATAACTATCCGTATGGTTAGAAGGGTCAAACCTGATGTTGGGGAGTATATTCTTGTTTGGTTGAGCCTTTATAATATTTTTGGTACTGGTTTCGGAACCACAGACTTCTGTATATACGTTCTTCTTATGTGGTTTGAACTTTTTAATCGTAACAGTGTTTCGAAGAACTTTCACGTTAGGAATAGACGTCTGAGTATGCCCCTTCACCGTTATATTTGGAAATATCAGATCAGGAGGCACAAGATCTATGTCTACATTAGGTATACGCTAGTTATCTAGGGTAACCACGGGCTTAAGTGGCAAGATAGCTTTCTTCACTGATAAGTCACTTCACTTTATAACGCATATTGCTTAGTTGCTTATATATACTGTCTACTTCACTTTATATTATTTATGCTATTGCATCTTCATGTGGAACTCCTAATTAAATTAGATAGAGTTAACCAGCGCCATGTGTGGCTCAAGTCTCATCCAAAGATTATCGGTTGCAAAAAGAACCACTAGACATGAGGTGTTGTAGGTAATGACACAGTTGCTATTATCAGAATGATTCGGGCTTTTCCAGACTCTCTTTTTTGATAGGTGACCCATTTCGATAATACAATTAATCCTAATACAGTATATACGTTATGTACCAGAAGTAAATAATAGCTATAGTTTTTTTCTATCAGAGAGCGCAAAGATCAAAAGTACCGCGATAAGATGTAATTGTATTATAAAAGAGAGCTACTATCCATTCAGGTGTATTCACGAAAGATGTTCATCTTCCACTATTTTTATTCAGCCTCATCATGAACTCAGTCATAAAATGAGTATTTGAGAAGTGAATCATTTTTATACAGAATAAATCAATTGTGGTATTGTTCCGACTTTTCTTCAAGTGAAGCAATAAGAGCAAATGTGAAGTGCACTTGGCATCTATATATTTTAAAGTATTATATTAAGTGAAGTTGAATCAAAGCAGAGCTCTCCTCTCATTAATCATCTTAGAACATTGGTGTGAATTCTGTGACAATTGGTTTGTCTTTTGTCACTAAGTAGAGTACACTGAACGCTTGAAATACTGACTCTGTATCTGATTTCTGAACTCCCTCAAATGTTAACGTTTAAATTCCTAACAAAACTAGGTGGGAATATGAACTTCCAAATTTATTTCATTTACAGAAAGTATGTTAGCATCAATATTTTTACGGATGACTTTTTAACCGTAAACGGTTTCAGATATGATACTAATATCAGCAATAAATATCATTCTGAACTATTCAGTGTAGTGGGCAATCATAATAACTTAAGTCCTAGAATTTTTCGTCATTTATACAATTAAAAACATTTACTAATACATAGAGACAATTATCTTAATGTCTAAGTAGTGTTCTTACTGAAAATGATTCAGTATAATCACCTATTGTTTTACAGATCAGTGCACATCAGCATACAGCACCAGTGAGATTTTTTGTCACACCAACTGTTATACAACAGAATGAAGATAATGTGAATAATCAATGCACTTCCACTTGTCAGACTACTAGTTCAATGAATAAACCTAAAAGGAGAGTCGAAAAACCAAGTTTTTTTATGGTTACCGGTGGTGAAGGTCACTTGGTCAATTCGCATAAGGATAGTGGTAAGTTTTGTTGTTTGTTGGAATTTTTGACTCCTACTGTATTACAATAGACTGATTTGTTTCATAATTTGGAGTAAATATATTTTGTTGTCCACTTTTTAAAAATATTGTAATCTTACATCATAAACACTGAAAGTAACCTTATGTTAAAGTATCTAGTTAATACAATTCTGTTAACTTGGTGACCATTTAGATTGAGTTAAGAACTTAATTTCTATATTATTTATGTATGAACATAATTGGTTAACACTGAATAATCTCATCACCTTTGATGTAATTATATTCCTGTCTGACTTTCATTTACCTCTTTGGAAAATATTCAGTGTCTAAACTTTTAATTTATTGAGTTGTGTCGATGACCTTTAGATTCCTATGATTTTTATGCATTCTAGTCAATTCGACTGTTTATTTCTTGCAATAATATAAATTTTAGTCCATGGATTCTACTTTTCATCATACAAATGAATACTGATAAAATAAGTTCATAAGCTTGTTCACCATCACACTAATTATTTCACATATAAGTTTCGATAGTTTTGAGGTTAATTCTTCACCAAGTGGTTTGAAGATCATGTGTTCGATCCCTGAAGAGGTTCTTGCTTGTACACTGTTAAAGAGTTCCATACTAGTATGAAAAAGGTGTTCAGTGCTTCAGTGTTTTCAGAGTTAGTCTGTTATATGAAGCCTTCAGTAGAACTTTCATTTGTGTATTACTTTTGAAAATGAAATTGTTTACAGATCAATTGATGATTAGTGCATGAATTGCATATGAAAACCTCAATTTGAGTTCAGTACTTATATAAACCTGTTTAAATTTTAGATTAACGCTTTGATATATTTATGACAGTTGTATATCTATTTCTTCATGTTTAGTAATATCTACTATGGATTTTTTTACATGGACATTATGTAAATGAATGTGAAATCTTCTGACTTCAATCTATTATTTATAATGTAATTCAACTTGACATTTCCAAGTCCATCTGAAATAGATAAGCTAGTCATATATTGTTCAAACGAACTTCATATTAATAACAAATGTGGATTTTATGCGATATTCTATATCTACTTAAAGTTATGTTAGTAGTATTTGTTAAGTGTATCTATCTTAACGACTGCTTCGTTTTTTCTTTACTTATTTAGCTTCGACGAATACGTTACACCAATCAGATAATCGCAGTTCAAACTGTAGTCATTTGATCATATGGCAGTTGTAATTGATCATCATAATCATTAAAACAGCTTTTCTTGTGATTTATCAATGTACAAAATTTCAGTCATATTCTATATATATATATATATATATATATATATTCTCAAATAATCTTCATCCATACAATTTCCTTTTATCTTTCCTCATTCTTGCTGTTCTCTTTCGTTAGAGCATATTAGAAATATTGACTTGATGTTTATCTTATTTGAACTAAATCAATTCGAACATGTAGTTCATTCGAATTCATGTTTTCTCTAAATTTACATAAATTATCTTTTCTTCTTTGTATATCATTAGATATTTCATCATTTCAATGTAAAATCGTACTTTTCTTCTTATTTAGATTTGTATATATATATAAGAAAATAATCAGTGATTCATGCATGTAAAGTACCAATCTAAAGTACATTCATTTTTTCCCTTTTAGGTTACGTTGATTAAAACAAATTTATATTTTTTCATCATTATGCAGTTAATTTAATTTGGTTTCTCCCCCCTCCCCTTCAAAAAAAATTTCTTTTTCAATAACTCTTCAAAGAATTACTTTTTAAAATAAAATCAGTATTAATATGTACAACATGAAACATAATAAATATGTGTATGCAAGCACAGTTTATGTTAGTCAACCCTCCCCCTTCCTTGTAAATGAGTAAATGAATGATAAACTAAATCTGTCGTTAACATGAGTTTTGCCAGCGATGCTTTTTCTCACTCTCTATCACTGTTTTAAATTGGTCAGACGGGTTAATCTCAATTGCACATATGTACATATTCGATCTTTATCCATCAACCTAAAAAGTTGTTTCAATCTACAGTTTGATACACTCTTATTAATATCACAGCGAAAGAAAATCGGCAAAGTACAAACAAAAGAACATTACTGAACTATATCAGTCACGTTTTATCAGACAGATATCACCGTTAGAATTTAATAATCGTCTCGTGAAATCGTTAATTGATTGGTGTGAATAATGATATACTACCAAATACTAGTTTATCCACTCAGTTTTATGGCATGTTGTTTATGTAAATGATAGTGATAATACTCAGATCCTAAACTGAATTAGATAGTTCGGAGTTCTAACCTGTAACCTACTGGTTAGAAGTTGAGTCCCTTCGATTGTTCCAAAATTTTTAATGGTATCGTTTTAACCCAAAGACCTGAAAGTCCGGAGCTCATTTTCTTATGACTTTGGTGAGCACTACAAAGAGATCACAGACAGGCGATACAACTTCACTGGTTCGAAAGCCTTTCCCTTGATACTTAAATTAGGCTCAAAACTGCTTATAACGTTTATTATAAATTGGTCGTAAGGAACTTGATCTAGTCACTTTAGTAACGTGATTTCGTCTGGCATATTCTACACAAGTTTGTAAAGTAGAACTATGTTGACAATACCCCTGATCGATCATCGAATTATTTTTTTAAGATTTAATGATGCACATCCACAACCTCGTACAATGTCAAACCTGTGACATTCATTTCTCACGATAAAGGCAATGTCATTGAGTCCACTTAGCCAAAATCCAATAAACTGTGTTCTTAATCTCAACAGAATTCCGTTTAAATTTATGATGTACTTTGCTTTCATCCTGAGAATGCGCTTCTCTCAAATTAATATTTTCCAGGTATTTCATTTCTCAAGCTTAAATGCCTTAAACAATTTACTGAAAAGAGCTGATTTTTCAGTAATACTGTTCAAGATTCAATTATTAGTATCCAACTTCATTCATCCTGACTCAAATCTCAGTGATTAACAGTTTTAAAACTTCGATCACAAAGTGTCTAGATTTTAATATCATGTGTGCATTGGCTCAATTCATCCAAAAAGCACCGTTTCTCCTATCTTGGGAAATTACGTTCATGTTCTAATTTGTGTCAGAAACGTTCTACTAGAAAACCATACTAAACTTTTTTCAGAAAATATCATAATTCTTTAACTGCTCTAATGTTATTTTTTGTGAAAATAGCCTATTCTAAATGCTTTATTTTCTCTAGTTACCAAAGTGATCATTTATAAATATAAAAACAATGAAAGATATTACTTATTATTATCCGTTTCCATTGTTCCACATTAAAATAATAGATTTGGATGTTTGTTAAACTTTCTATTTGGTTGGACTGGAAACAAACATGTATGTCACATGTAGCTATTGAAACAATGCCAGGAGTATTTGTTGATCAATCCTCTAAAGATGTTTATGAGAGAAATTTTTAGTTGGTTAACGGAACAATAAATATAGATCACATAATTTATATAAGCTCCTTTTTAAAACATACAACTTAATGTATGATTTCTTTCTAAATAACTTAAAAATGTAAGTTCTCTATACAATATTCCTCTTTTAAAGTTCCTTAACTATTTTTGTACTGTACTATCAGCATATTATTTTATAACTAACCCATAGTTTCAAATATTATATTTTTGAGACTCGCTTGAGTTTGATATTTTGATTCAACCAGTTTAAAGGTTTGTACCTAGTTGACACTTGTCAGTACGTTGTATCTATAATCATAAAGAGACTAATTTTTTCCATGATACTCGAATACGTGACACACTAAATGATATTATCACTGAACTATTTGAACCACTAATGATCTTGTGTAGGATTCATTTTTACATTAACTAGTTATAGAGTAGTAATCCATGTTGTGTTCAGTAATATTTAGTACTGATCAAGACTTATCACTCACACTTATCCTTAAACAACTAAGCATAATTATTATTAATAAAGCCTTCATTTCTTGTAAATATTCAAATTATTCAGAAATTTCACCTAACCGAATAACCTGAAAGTGTATCAATAATAAATTGCCTGGTCCACATAAGCTTGATAAAGTAAAGCGAAATGAATCGAATTCCTTTTTTTTCCTGATTGAAATAATAACATCCATTCAAATCCATAATTGTTATTCAACTTAATAACTGTATTTTATTATTCGTTTTCTAAGCTATCTCTGTCCACTCAACTCAGTCTCAATATATTGGTACATTATTTTGCAATTGAATCAACATAAAATGACAGTCATAAGTGAACTTATAAATTAAAGTGCTGGATATTGTTATGTGGTTTAGTTTGCTGAAAAATTAATTTACAATCTTGGTAATCATCACCTATAGTCTGTTCACGTTTATTCCAATTTAAGGAATCTTAAATAACAGGATCAATCTAACTTATTTTATAATCAGTTAATATAATCTCGGAAAACAGGCTCAAACGGTGTTGTAACCATCATTTCAATTTCTGAAGAAACTATTCTTGTTCACTTAGTTTCGTCTATACAGAAAGTATTACTACCATAAATTCATATAATTTATAATCGAATGATCATTTGTAAATCACTTTTATTTTCAAATGATATGTTAACCCCCACATACTTTCAACTTTATTTCATTTCGATCCTATTTCTATAAGATGCAAAATGGGTTTTGATATATAATATAACGTACAAAGTATATCCAGTCCTACTTAGAGCCCATCGTTCTGTTACACCAACATTTCAATTAATGTTTTTACTGAAAGTAAAGCTTACTCTCTATCAGTTTTGATGTTAAAACTATGACCGTTAAGCTATTGACTGTTGATACTAGGACGTAAACGTGAAGTTTCCTTTTGATAACGTACATGATTTGATATGGCTCCATCAACTCGTTCTCTCCATTAAATAGCTATGCTGTGATCACTTGTGACCATATCTTAATTAACATTTGACACCAGAACTCTTGATACATCTGATCACATTTTGATTTGTCACCCAGATAGAATCGAGTTATTCATACATGAAATTCATGTACCAAAAGTGGTTCGATTCAATATATCCTACAGACTAAATAATTTGTAAGTTTAAGTAAAAGCCATTCTAGTATTGTTTGTATTTGTGCGAGGGCTGGGTACCCGAACCGAAGCAGGTGGTTTTCTTAGGGGCCACACCCGGAGCCTTTGACCTGAAGGTCTGATCCGCAAGGCAGTGGGGCAACGTAAGGAGATGCAGTCCCATGGTAGTTGGTGACCGACGATTGGTTCATACTCCGTTTGTTACTTCAGGATCCTGGAGCCCATGTATACCACTGGTTTGGAATCAGGGTTTTCCAACTCCCCTAAGTGGACTCACCGGCCCGCTTAAAGCGCCGGACATTCGTTTTTCGTCCTCTCATTTTCGTAAACAACAGTAATGCCACGAGAAGGCAGTGAGTAGGACTTCCCTGGCATTGGTTGTATGCACGTGGTCATGTGAGTGCATTTCGAGAGAGAGAGACTACTCACCCCACTCTCGGCCGCACCAGGGCATTTGGGGACAACAGAAAACGTAACGAAGTGATCATGCTCAACAGACAATAACTTGGATTCAACTCAATTCTTGTAATCATGATTTAACCATAATATTTATAAATCAAAGAATTCTAAATTTTAATTTAATAAAACTTAAATGTTTAACTTTGAATTGTTACCATAGTTTTCAGACTTGCATTAATCATGTAAATTGTTTAAAATCCACTAAAGAAATAGTTCAGAAGAAAACAATTGATTAGTGTGTATTTGAAAGACAATTACTTAGAAAACTGTATTCAGATTTAATGACAGTCTGAATATATTTTCTCCTAAGGCAGTAAGACGGTGCTTTTGTGGTGAGTATGGATAAATATCTAGTGTAGACTGTCCCCAACCATTTAATATGAGGTTTATATTATCTCGATTTACTTATTACATCATGTAATTTGACGAAGATACTCTAATTATCGTCTAAGACTGAACTGTGTTCTACCTAGTATTATCACAATCTTTTTGTCATCATATTCATATTTCCTTAAAGAATATATATATATATATATATCCACTGAAAATAGGTTTCTTTAAGCTGAATTTCTTAGTTTATTAGATTATGTTTGATCAGAGCCCGTAGTGTCTCGTAAATATCCTACTTTATCAAGTAACTGTAGATTGTGAAAATATCCCATTGTTTATTGACAAATGCTAAAAGCTTTAAACGGTACAGCTATTCCACATCATCTAAATTTAATGTAAACTTATATAGATCTCACTCATTTTAGAAATCTAAAGAATCTATGAATTACGTTGCTCTATTCCTTTTCTGTAATTGATTTTGAAAGATAAATAAAAATGGAAGACGTTGATTATTCTGTGAAAAATCGTAAATCACAAGTAACGAATTTGAACACAGTAAAGTTTGAAGATCAAGGTCAATTGAAGACAAATTCTAATATTCTAAATAATTCGAAAAACATAACAAATGAAAAGCTAAGAAAATCCTCAGTAGCAATTCTACGTAATCGATTTTTTCGCAGTAAGTGTTTGAAAATAAAGTCTCTGAATACATTCACATGGAACGGTGAAAAAAATTCAACTGTTCAACTTTTAAAACGAGATTACAGTAAAGAACTTTTGATTTCCACCGTTACATTTTTATTTCACAGTTTCATGTTAGTTTGTAAGTGCAAAATATTGATTATAGTTCTTCTAAGTACGATAAACTTATTTAACTCATGGTCAACATGAATTTAAGGAACTTACTTACTTATTTACTTACGCCTGTTACTCCCAATGGAGCATAGGCCGCCGAACAGCATTCACAACCCACTCTGTCCTGGGCCTTCTTTTCTAGTTCCATCCAATTCTTGTTCATTTTTCTCATGTCTATCTCCATTTCTCGGCGTAATGTGTTCTTTGGTCTTCCTCTTTTCCTTTGACCTTGAACATTCCATGTGAGGGCTTGTCTTGTGATGTAGTTGGGTGCTTTCCTCAATATGTGTCCTATCCACTTCCAGCGCTTCTTTCTGATTTCTTCCTCCTCTGGGATCTGGTTCGTTCTCTCCCACAGTAGGTTGTCCGGCCAACGGATCCGAAGTATTTTGCGTAGACAGCTGTTATTAAACACCTGTATTTTCTGGATAATGGCTTTCGTAGTTCTCCAGGTTTCTGCCCCATACAGTAGAACTGTCTTGACATTTGTATTGAAAATTCTGACCTTGGTGTTGGTTGACAGTTGCTTTGAGTTCCAGATGTTCCTCAGTTGTAAATATGCTGCTCTTGCTTTGCCGATCCGCGCCTTCACAATAACGTTTTCTTTGCTTCAGATAAACACTTTTATACCAAAATATTGGCATGGAACATCAAAAATAGTATTACTAAATACTAACTTTGTTCATTCGTAGACAATGAGGATTATTCAAACTAATTGTATTTAAACCATTAAATAATTAATTATCTTTTATTCATAAGGGATTATATTTTCCCATTGTTAATGTTTAAGATTATATGTGATTAGTCTTGGTTAATATGTGTGCATTTTGAATGGATTCTCTTATTATTACTTGGATTCAATAGTCAATAGTTAGCAATAGAATTTAAGGTGTATGCCTCATTCAATTCGGAACTCTAACTGCCAAAATCTTCATCCTACTTTTGATATTCAAGTACAATCAATCTAGTCGTACGACAAACATAGTTTATACTTGACTGACTTTAGATTTCAGGTAAACTACAAGAAAAGCTAAGTTAATTAACTGAAAAAACTTTTAAAAATGATTATATTGAGATATTGATGGAGCGTAATTTCCATTGATGTTCAAAGTTTATTTAAAACATGTGAAACCGTAGGACTTGAGTTCATCAGGTCATTTATACGCTAGCGAAATCACGACTTTATTGTTGAACTTGATTCCAGTAAATTGTCATCAGAATGAAAATTATTTCTACTACTTCTATAAAATTCAGATTGGATGAACAATAGAATCACGTAAATGTATTTTGATAATTCTACTGAATAACTTTCTTATGATTTAAGTTACAGGTTTTAGATTTTAGTCTAGCCAGAAGAACAACGTGATCTAAATAGCTATTCTTTGTCGCCACTTGATAACAGGAAAACCTAAGGGTAAATAGATTGAAAAATGATGTTAAAAATGGTTTAATTCGATACAAACTGTCCATTGAGCAGTAAGTCTTCGAAAATCAGGGACTCGGTTGATGTGGTTACAGCTTTGTTTTAGATTATTTTCGTGATATGTTTTTTCAATATTTATTTCGTTTCGTTTTAAAAATTATTACAGCCATCTGGACAACGCGTAACACAGTCAATGCCACTGATCGAAGAGTATTCATAAGTACTACACTAAGAGAATTATTACTTTATATAGTGTTTTTGACATTACTACTGATAAGTAAGATTTGGTGCTATGGTTCATTTTTGTTTATTTGGTGGTTTCATTTATGATGTGTTTTTAAATATAATTTACTACATTAATCCACTACCCTATGGCAATTGTGGGCTCGAAAAGAATTTCCTGTATTTCAAAAATGTGGACGATTGAATCCCAGCCTAGAGCTGAATGTTATAGGTTTGATCGTATACGGAGTATTAGTTACACATTCTTGAAGAGTTAAAAACTAAATGTAATGGTACACCAACAGCCATGATTAGAATGAGCTTGACAAAATTATCTCTGATAGTTGTTTATTCAATTAATGCTTACTTCCGTGGAATCAAGTGATACCGAGAGATCACTTGCTTATATACTCACTCATACTTATCAGTATTGATGACGACTTTACTATTCCTTCATACTTGAAAGTCGGTATATTTGAGTAAGATGACACATTTTCTTCATGACTGATGAACCAGAACAAAGACTAAATTAGATAATTTCGAATAAATTGAGAATTGGGTAGACTGTTATAAATAAATAGTATATTTGTAATATCCCAATGAGTAGAAAAATTAGATTTCTGACGTTTCGTGGCTTAGTGTAAGTCACTTCTTCAGAGAATAAATAACCAAGATAAAATTACTTAAATTATTTAAACTTGGATTAATTTTAATTTAGTTATTTATTCTCTGAAGAAGTGACTTACACTAAGTCACGAAACGTCAGAAAATCTAATTTTCCACTCATTGGGATATTACAACTATATTATTTATTTATTTAAAGACTAAATTAGTTATCCATACTTATTAGAATTTAAATGAAACTTCGTACTGACATTTACATTGTTTACTGAATCATCCGTGAACTATCTTAACACATGTAAAAATGAAATAAATCTGATGTCAAAAAATTCCAAACCCTGAAATTATATTTCGTTAATCAACTAGCATTATCTTTAACTGTTAAGCTTTTTATACTTTTTTTATAGAAGTAAACATTATCAATCAGTGTTACAGCCAAAGATATTTTGTGTAAACTGTTTACCTTCAGCTATTTATCATAAGATAAACGACTTTAGAACAAAAGATAATTTCTATCATGAAAAGATGCTAGTTAGATAAGTACTGAAATTTAGTTTCAACTTCAGTTATTTTCTGATATACTAGAATCTTTGTTCAGTATAAAGATGGAGTGCACTATTAAGATGTCTTAAAAGGCTTGGCAACACAGTTATCCAATGCTCTTAGTATTCGTAGTACATGATTAAACCTATCTTAGTATGAAGAGACTATTTGTTCAAGAATTTTACTTATAAGACTGATCCATACTGTTCAGTGTTTACCATTATTAATAGGTGACTATTGATGAATAGTCACAAGAAGACAGGATTCTCATTTGAAGCCATTAAAGCTTCTTGATAGTCATTGGCAAAATCAGTTACATTTTCTTAGTTTTCGAAAGTCTAAAACAGTAAAAGGATGAAAATGGCAAATGATTTTTAAAATATATACATATGTCCATAAATATCGCTAAGATGTAAGTTCATATATAAACGTGAAATGAGTAAGTTGTGAAAAATAACCCTACTCAAGTTAAATTTAGAAAACCTTAGTGTTGCTAACAAGCTAGTTCTATCATAGCCAAATGTTAAAGGTTGAATTTATCGAGTTTCGTTCTTAAATAAACTACCTTAGTAAGCGTAATGATACTTGACAGTTGAAATCACATGCCAATGAGCTCAGCCTCTCTAAGAATAGTAGTAAGGATTGTTAGGATATCCAGAGCTCCAGTTTACCCGACCTGATCTCAATAGCGGTGGATTTTAACTTACATCATTAATTCATACGATCTTGGATTTCTAAATAGATCAACGATTTGATGATTTCGATTTGCGGTCTTAAACGTTTTATTTTATTTTATCATTCTAGTTTACTTATTCATGTTTCGCTACTCGAATTATATCTAATAAATGACCTTTAATGTAAGCACAGATACTGCATGTTTTAAACTATTATTCAACTTTGTTCTCAGTTGCTTTGACGACTTTAAATTCAATGACATATTTCTACAACACAAGTATATACAATCGATTCGTAGTAACGGACGGTTCAACGACATCTGATAGTCCACAAGCATTTCAAAATATTCATGATCATACAGCTATGTGGAATGTAAGTTAGCACTTTTAAATCTTGCAAACTTTTTATTCCTGAGAGTTTTCTATTTAAATTTATTGTATAGTTCAAACTGGGAAAGCTTATATATCAACTATTAATTTAAATACATCTCATACATGGTTATATATTCATATCAAATGTTAGTTGTATGGATAAGTTTACTTCATTCTTAACACAGAAGACACCAGTTGTGTTTATTGTAGTAATAACTTCTCTAAAGTTTATATTCCATAAAAATTATTCAATAACTGTTCACGTTTTTGGTGCAATACCCTAAATATCCTATATTTATAAATTTAGTTACTAGTTTAGAAACAGGTCCACTCATTATGATTTTAAAGGCCAGGTTCTATTATAATTTTCCTTACTCTAACTTCTAAATGAAATATGTTACACGAATATAGATTTTGTTAAGTGTGGAAATTTAAGTCATTTGATGGTAGTTTTTATCATGGAATAGAATCAATAGGAGAATCACTGTCAACTAAAACGTATGGGACAATGTTTTCGTCAAATTTGCTAATTCTGAACACCGATAAATGCTAAGAAAAGCTCAGATCATCTATTTTTTCCAATTAGTCAAGAACAAAGTGTAAGCAATTCAATGGCGATCTAAATTTCGTGATTACCGTCTCGACATTAATTATACTCTGTCTGGTCATTTTTTGTTATAGTTTACTATTTTATTATATGTTCTTAAAATCACCTTTGTTGTCATATAAAAAAGTTAGTTGTATTAGACTTTGACTGCTCGCTAGAATAACAACAGTTCTTTTACCAAGACCCGCCTTCTCCTATAGCGTATTGTGGTATTAGGGGGATCAAGGTTGAGGTGTTGTTATCACATTTTAAAAGCAGCAACAAGGCGGAAATAAAAAGGAAACTTTCCGATATCTAACCAGTTGAAAACTGTATATTCCAACAATTCCAAACTCTACATGAACTCGAACCCAGGACCTTCATATCAGACTACTTTTAGATCCATTGGTTTACATTTCTAACTTTAGTCAACTTGCGATAAGGTAGAACTGTCTTCCAATATCATCTGTGATATCTGTCTCACTTCAAACATAGCTGAAATTTACTGTTCACAATTTCTGATTAGAAGTTTTATAAATTAATCATTGGTAAGTATTCATTATCCATTTGATATGTTCCTGATGACTTATTTAATTTGAATAAAAACCATTATCGGTAAAAAAAAACAAGCGAAAAAGATATCACTTAGAATATGAATATCTCTTTACAACAAAAATTGGCTAATGGACCATTTGTTTTTGTCGTAGTAATCTAAAGACAACGCGCTGTTCATTAAAACCATATGTTCGGTATTCAAGTTCTAAGTAGTAGTTGTAAACTACTGTAATATGTCCACTTCATTTTGCCTTTCAATGATTCATTTGTTGATTTCAATCAAAGATAAAAACTATATCTAAATCTAACAACTCGATAATCTTATTTATTTGGTTTTCCGTAATCTCTCTAATTATTCAAAAATAATTTTTCAGTATTAAATACTCTTTTTAAAAAACAACGAATGCAGTATATAGTTCTTTACCATGAGACCTAAACTATAGCTCTACAACGATATATATGCATATTTTACAGTAAACAAATAATTGATGTCAATCAAACGTTAGATAAGAATGTGATGGTCGGTATTCAATCCTTAACTTCGTATACAGTTCGTCCTGATAACCCTCACTAGATAATGCCCCAACGGTGTATTAATCAGAAGACGAATATAAAGCGTTGAGTACGTTTATTATTCCAGCACACACATATATCCAAATTTACAGGTACACTAAGCAAGCATGAAATAGTAGTGCCAAGATGCAAGCAGGCAAGTGAGTGAACATGAGAATCAAATTGGCGAGTGTGCGAGCGAGTCAATGAGACAATGAACACGATTAAAATGTGCATATATATACATAGTGAAATGAATGAATAATCAAGTCATTTAAGCGACTAATAGTAAAGCTAGCAAAATGAATATAGCATAGGCAGTAAGCAAATGCTTAAGCATACATATTCATACAAGTGCAACAATAAGAAAGATAAAATGATATAGATAAGTTGTTATTGTACTCATGACTCTGTCCATTAAATAAGTAAACAAAAAGGCTTGACCGAATTATATGTGAACAAACTCAATCACATGTGAGCTCCTGTAAGAACATTAAAAATTTAATGGTATTCATGAAAATAATGATGTATAATAATCACCATTATTGTAAAACTTATTTTTCAATGTACATCCATGAGGGTATGGCTAGTTGGAACTTGTTTCCTTTATTTGTCGCTCTTTAAATGAGAATTTTAGTAAAACGGAGACAATTTATTTTTGTTTTCTATTTTAATAAGATTTGTTATTATCATTTTTAATAATTTTTTTCTATTTTCAAACAATATTTATCCTGTTTCAAAGTATATCAATGGTCAATTATTGAATTCATTATATTGGGATGCATGGTATAATCAACTGAATGTATCATTCAATGAAAAAGATTTTATTGCTCATGATAATAAAGTTTTAGGTGTTGCACGTCTTCGACAGCTTAGAGTAGATCCATCACAATGTGATATACCTAAACAGATGAGAGGTGTTATAGAAAAATGCTATCCTGTTTACAGTACAAAAGCACGCTTTACAAAGTCAATACAAATACAAGGCAATATCACACCTATTTACACAAAAAATGCGTAAGTTTAAATTATTGTTGAACTATCGGATATTCGGAAAGTTACTGTCTTGTTAAATGTCCACTTTTTGAATGAAATATTATATCAGAAGGGGTTTGTGGAGATTTTTTAGAAGTTTTACAGATTGAAATCATGAGTCAGTTTAAACCAGTAGGTCCTGGGTTCGAATCCCGTGGGGTGCGGGATCGTGAATGCGCACTACTGAGGAGTCCCATACTAGGACAAAACGGCCGTCCAGTGCTTCCAGGTTTTCCATGGTGGTCTAGCTTCAACTGACTCATGATTTCAATCTGTGAATTATTATAGTTTGTTTTCGTTAATGTTGAAAATGTTATATGGCAGAGGTGATTATAAATACTCACATAATGTTTGTCTGAATTTAAAGAAGAAAAAAACTTTTTCAGTAAACAATTGATCAGTCTGATCTGTATAAAGCCTTCTTTTAAAATATTTTTTCCAATATGCAATAAACTGAATTCCTTTAAAGAATATTTATTGAAGTTCAGAGGTATGTGAAGTAAGGTTACTGCAAATATCTTTTTGAAACAACAGCGACTTCTAAGCAAAAATGGATAGTGGCTAGCAGTGCAATCCAGGACGCGTGTTTCATCCTATTTGTGACTCGTCAGCTGGATATACCTGCATTTCAAAGTTGATGTTCACTCTTGAACTCGAACCCAGTACCGTTCGCGTTATCCTTTTAGCTGCTGAGTTCTGATAGCCACTTGCTTGAGCAATGATCAATTGCTGTCCAAAACATCAATGGGAAGATTCAAGCACTCGATACCAAGCAGAAACTTCTGCTTCAGTATAAGTGACTAATAGTAACTGACTCACTACAAAGAATGTTAGACCGATAAACTTATTCAACTAGTTTATTTATTACGTGACGAAGGGTAACGAACTCAAAAAATTTGGATTCAAGCAACTACTCGATACACACACTTCAATACTGATGTAAAGGGGCAAATAAAAGAGAAGTGGTAGCTTTCGAAAGCATTTTTTGACCAATATTATTATTCAATTCTTGTCTTGTAATTGTTTGATAACCGAGCTATTGCATTTCTATATTCTTCTCAGTATGAGAGTTCGTTAGACGTTTGAACTATTGTTCTACATATTATTATTCCTAGATTACTGCTTTGTCTTGATACATTGTCAATCGGCAACTTGGTGTGCTTAATTGATAGTCAGCTTTTACTAATAGAACATCATATCCCTAACTTTATTAAAATGACAAAGATGATTTAATACCGACTCTAAATGTCTAGAAGATTTCACTTTAATTTAAAAGTACGAGCATTAGACCTTCAGGATACTGAGACTAGATGTTTGGTAGTTACCTTCATTTGTTTATGGATACCTACCTCATTAACTGTTTCACGTGTGAAACAAAGTCAACTAAACGAAAGTTTAAGTGCAATACAAAAATCTACTCTTGTTTTAAATTTTCATTGTAGCAACGGCTTGTAAGTTATATTAGTTTTAAAGGCAACTTATATTGAAAACTGACATCACTAGAAAAACCATTGAAAACCAGTAAATACTGAACATCTATCTTGCAGTAATTTATGACGTCTTGGTAGTAATCATCCAATACCCAATATGAATCACCGATCTTATTATTTTTCTGATAATAGTTAAAACTCTTAGATTGTTACGACTGGAAGAAATCGTTTTAACAAATTATAATTATTAACTGAGATCATGAACTGACCAATGTAGGACCGCCACTGAAAATCTGGAGGCACTAGACAGCCGTATCGTCCTAGCATGAGACTCCTCAACATTGCGCATTCACGATCTCGCACACGAGATTTGAATGTAGAACCGTCAGTCTCGCGCGCAAACCCTTAACCTCTATACCACTGACCTGGCATCCGACGGTGTTAGTGTCTAACTTCTACAAATCCACGATATTGCGCGATTGTCCTCGATTGTATTCAGTAAGTAAATGCCTCACACCTGACACAATTGGAACCCACTGGATTAGTTGAAGTTAGACACTAACACCGTCAGATGCCAGCTCAGTGGTAAACAGGTTAAGGGTTTGCGCACGATACCAACGGTTCTGGGTTCAAATCTCGTGTGCGGGATCGTGGATGCTCACTGTTGATGAGTCCCATACAAAAAGAGACGGCTGTACAATGCTTCCAGGTTTTCAATGGTGATCTGACATCAATCAGTTCACGATCTTAATTAAAACTCAACAATCTCCACAACCCTATACTGAAAATTTTGATTACTTTGTAAGATGAGTCTGAAAAATTTAATACCTGGAATTCTCGAAAAGTTTCTAAAGATTATAATATATATCTTAAAAATGATTAAAAGATACACGCCAAACTATAGTATGATAATCAGGAGCAATTGAATTACAGTATAAACTGAGAATCTCAAAAATAACACAATTGAATTGATTAGAAAATGTTGTCTCGCTAAGATCCTGAGTCCCACTTGACTCTGTACTGCAATATGACTCTACACTGACTTTTGAAATCGTTGATAAGGATAAATGATCATTATAAATACTCAACTTAATAGAACTAGAATTCCAAGACTTAATTTTATTTGCAGCAAGATTAACAGTAGTATACAAACTGACTGAATATGTCCAATATCACCACATTTAAAGCACTTAGAATTACGAAATTTACGTGAATTAAAACAGTGGAACCTGCCACAGGACAAACATTGACCAAACTTGTACACATCTTCGTGAACTGCATCACAACTCCTCAATGAAATGTCTGCATAACCTTGAGTATGCACTGGGTTGGGGTGACGTAATGTAGTGGAATTTTTTATATCCTTATGAATCATTTTACGGAATCTTCCTTTACAGCAATCGAAACTTGTATAATTAACATAGTCTAGAAGTAGTTCCTTGAGAGTTGTATGAGGAAGCGAAATGGGCTTCTCCGGTAAAGCCAGAGTTTTTAATGAGCTGTATGATTCCTTTCCGATGAATGTGAGGAAGTATGCCACAATATTAACATCGTCAACATCTTCCTTGGTCACAGCCCAGATTTTAACCTTTCCAAGTAATCCTCAAAAGCATCGAAATATGAATGTATGTTCAACCGTTCCATCACAGGCTCAATCGCGGTGCCAATATGATAATTACGAGTATTTGGATTATAGTATAAACTAAGAATCTCAGGAATAACCCAATGGAATCAAGAAGTACTAGACAAGCACGGACGAATTTACTGTATTTGAAATTTGAAACCAAACATTCGACAAGTACAAGGGAATCATTAGTTCATTCAAACACCACATATAACCATGATTATGTTTTGTATAAAATCAAAAACAACATTTTTCTTTGTATAAAAAGCATTTAGTTTGGCTGTTGTCGAAAAACATGCTCCGACAAGTTTCTGTACCCTAGGGAGATTAACACATGACAGTAACCAGCTCTGCAAGTGTCACCTTCATAGATGAAAAGCTGTTGTTCTGTGTCTTTAGTAATATTTCATAAATGCGAACAAATAAAACAACTTGTACACAACTAATCCATTGACTGTTGATGAAACAAAAACGATACCTTTAAAGTGAAAGTAATCACATGTTTCTTGATATTACTTTTACTAACCAAGTTTTCAACACTTATTCGGACGATGAACTTGTCGACGCTAAAGTTATTGGGCTAGTAGTCCAAAATAATGTCATTAAATTAAGTGTTTATCTGATGTTCTTTTATCTGTTAATGATTTTTTTCAATAAAGATGGAACTTTAGTGATTCTCACGTGACAGGAGCTACCAGTTATTCTGCACCATATGGTTATTATGATGGTTCCGGTTATATACAAGATTTGTCCAGATCAAATGATGAAACTGTAGCCATTTTAAATGAGTTATTTCAAGGTCGATGGATAGATCAATCAACTCGTGCATTGTTTATTGATTTTACAATATATAACGCAAATGTAAACATATTTGTTATAGTAAAGTAAGTAATGATGAGTTCGGTCTAAAACGATACAATAATATTAATATTTATATCCATTCCATTTTTGGCATCTGGCAAATCTCTTCCCTTATATTATCGACTTTCTAGTTTTAGCCGTCATGATTTTATTAAAAGTCTGACTAGTATTTCTTTTCGCTGAATTCAAATTTCACGGAAATCATGAACCGATCAAAGTTGGACAAAAATTGAAAAGCTGTAAGCACTGAATGGAAGTCTGACATTTCAGCAATATGCACCACGATACCTCAAGTGGGAATCAAATCCAAGAACTTTGGTCTCACGTGCGAACGCTTGACCTCTAAATTACTGAACCGGGATCTAATGGTGTTAATGTCTTACTTCAATCAGTCGGCAACATTGCGCGACCATCTTTCATTGTCTTCTGTGAGTACCTCCACACACCCCGCATGGTTGAATTCAACTAGTTACAGCTTCTCGCTACGACTTCGAAAGTTTTCTCTTGTAGTCAGTCGCAGGTAATCACATAAAAATTGTTAAGTGTATTTTATACCCGTATGCAGCGTCATGGATATACACTTCTGAGGAGTCTCATACTAAGACGAAACAACAATCCAGCGCCTCCAAGTTTTCAATGGTTATCTAACTCAGATGGGTTCATGATTTTAATGACATCCAACAATCTCCACAACCCCATACTGATAAATTTTATTGTATCAATGGAAAAAAGTTAATTTGGATGTTAAGATTTTATAGATATTTTTTGAATCAATTACTGGACGTTTCACTTGGTCGCATTTAAAAGTTTGGAGCTTATAAGGATAAAAATGTCTGCGTTGGGCTTAGTTAGGAGGTATAAATACCGGCTCAGTGGTATCAAAGTTAAGCGTTCGAGCGCGAGACCGAATGTCATGAGTTCGTGGATGCGCACTGTTGAGGAGTTCCATATTAGAACGAGACAAGCATACAATTCTTCCAGGTTTTCAGTGGTGGTCTAGCTTAGATCGACTCATGAACTCGACCATTAAAATTTTGTTGTTATGATCAAAGTTGAATATCATGCATTAAAATTTTATCATTAAATTATTGATCTCAATTAAAACTCAACAATTTCCACAATCCTATACTGACAAATAATTATTCTTTTTAGCTAGGCAGCTCATCAATTAGCAACTAAACAGTTATAGAAAGATTAATAACTTCTACTAGTTTGACTAATTTTGTTTACTGATTTATTTATTTAATGGCCTTGATCTTCGACACTAACACTTCCAAATTCAATTACATTCTCATTCGCAATTTTGACGTTATAACTGGCCACCAGGCAAAATGAAGTGATTATTATTATTTGCACTATCGTAGTCCATGATAGCAGGCATGTTTCATTCCCTATCGATTTTGCTTGCTAACGTTAAAGATGAAAAGTTATCTACGATTAAAATACTACTCTATCATGGTACATACGTTTCGCGTTTGGCGCAGTCAGTCATGATGGAACAGAAATTAAAATAGCAAAAGTCATACCTCCAATCGGTTCTATAATAGAAATGATTCCAAAATATCTACAACCGAGTGACTAAATAAATGAAAGTATAATGATAATTGCTGACTATGATATACTTGGATGACATGGCAACGTGGGATCAATGCCCGGCAAGCTTAACTATTCGTAATATGAATAGAATGTATCCTGGGACCATCGAGTAAGTAACGCAGTTGTTAGGAAACCGGTACTAGGTAAGGATGGCAAATCGATTGATGAAGTGATGAAACTTCATCAGTTGAGATGGCTGGGACACGTGCGTCGACGTGCGATGTTCAGTGGTATAGGAGTAGGTTGGAAGAAAGCTAGGGGCGGCCAGACCGAAACATGGCACAAGTCCATGAAGTCACTGACAAGTGGACTGAGTCATGTTGGTAGGTGTAGACTACCTGGTTGGGGACCGCGAGATGATAGCAACCGATGGTTAGAGACCCTGAATGACATTGCTGAAAATCGTTTGCAATGGAGCAGGTGCATCCACTCTTTGTGTTCTCCCAAATTTCAATCTCCTGATTCCTCCTTGTCTCTTTTTTCTCTTCCCAAATTTATTTCACTGTATTATACTCTTTAAATAACATCTTCAAACCCTAATCTTCCCGATTACTGCTTATACTCTTACTACCTCTACCACTACGGGATTTGAATCGAAAAATGCTAATGTGGTGTGGCAACTCGAACTGATGTACGTACGTACGAAGTTCTACGTTGTAACTGACTGAGTGACTGACTTTTTATCCTTATTTTATTGCTAATATGTAAAATAATTGTAAATTGAAAATATTTGTACACTTTTTCCCTTTAAAAAATATTATAGAATCATATTTGAAATGCCTGAATCGGGTGGATTATTTGGTAGCACTATAGTTCAACCAGTCAGATTATTTCGTTATCAAACAGTGACTGATTACTTTGTTTTAGTATGTGAAATTGTGTATTTGGTTTTTCTTGCCTATTATATTATTGAAGAGATACTTGAGGTAAATATACAGAACTAATTTATCTTGCATACTTTTCATCTGGTTTAAATTATTTATTGTTTACATACAATACAGTTAGTGAAATCAGATTGAAATATCTAACAACTTTAAGATAGTTTTCATCAGTAAAGATCAACAAAAAGTCGAAAAATACTAGCCATCTTTGTCAACCTTGTTTGAAATTTCTTAGCAAGTGCACACTTAATTCATCATCATAGATCGAATTCAATTAATTTAATTATTGTTTGATTGTTGGGGTGATCCAGAAAACTTACCTCAAAAGCCAAAAAATGTTCAGGAAACACTAAGAAGCATTTTGTTCAATCAGTGTTCACTAGCAGTTTAGCCAGAAACGTCAAGAAAGTGAAAAGTCACATGTAGAGTTTCTGATTAGCTGATTACTATGCTGCTACTATGTTTAGTAGCATTCCCGAATTTTCGGGAAACCCAAGGACATCTTGAATACTATAAAAACCCTATATTTTCTGTACTAAAACGAACATTTGCATTAAAGTGCTTCTCTCGTGCCCAGGTTGCTGTGTAGTTCTAGCTTGGGGGTTACGAGAGCAGCTTAGGGACCGAATATAGCGTTCAATTAGTAAGACTTATCATTGATAACTTAGACTATTAAGCTGTAATTCAGTAATCTTCATTCATGATTGGATGAATAATTTCATCTAAAATACCTATTTCACTCCTTGGATAATTGACTCTCCAGTAGTCATGTAAGCTTGTCATGGTTATTTGTTTTCAATGTTTCATCACAAAATTATGTCATCTGAGAGTCATGGAAAATTGAAGGACCCCGGAGAGCTCTTCATTCTAGTTTGGGACTCCTCTACAGTGATCACACATGATTCTGAAAGGAATCAATAGATGGATGGATTGACTTGGAAAATTATTTGTTCCTATTAGATAGATGCAGGTCACAATCCAGTGTGTAAAACAAATTTTAATAGTATGTTTCATTTATCGTTTAATATTTTTAGAAAGAAAAGGGATAATTTCTTGTTTACCCATTTATAGAGTTAAAGCATATAGATATACTAAAGCAATTCTAATTGAGGTGTTAAGTTCTTGAAGTAAGACTCAGTATTTTACAATGTAATCCCACAATAACTAACTGTTACTTTTAGTGCAGATGGATAAATGAGAATAAATGACTAGTTTCTAACCAAATTTATGGATCAGTCAATCAGTTTACTGATAACTGTGGTTGACTATTGATACAGAATAGATAGAATGTGACTAGCAGTGGGATCAAAACGCACGTACCGTTCTACTTAAAACTCTTCAGATGTTTGGCTGGTTAATTGTATTTCAATTTCTTCAGTACCTGGATCCAATTAGAAGACTGATAGACTACTGATAAATTAGTCTATTTTCTTCTGAGTCACTTTACATATGGTATACAAGCCAAAAACAAGTTCCTTTATTCTTGTAAGCTAGGTAATCACTGTGAATAGCGAAATTCAGCATTTCTGAAATTGACTTCCTTACATGTTTGCATTCAAGTAGAATCATACAAATCAATACGTTTAGTAAAAATATTTACACTATGTGATCACTATATCTGGTAACATGGAATAAGTTGTGTTGTGGATGCGGAGGAATAGACCAGTAATTATCATGTTAAGTCCAATGGTGTCCTTGGACTTTAAATGGACATTTCCTATTGGTCGATATCTGTTCACTTGTTGAATATTGTACAAAATGTTGTTTTCTATTTTATGGTACGATGTGGTATGCTTGGTTAGTATATAAATAGAGTATGTTTGAAATATAATGATTCATATCTCCGAGGCTGTGGCTTGTCTTCTGGACTCAACTGACTGGGCTAGACAGGGAAGCGAGACCAATTGAGACTCTAGGCCGTCCGTACGTGTTTACGTGTCACTGTAATCGGTCGATAAGTACGCTGCTCTCCAATTTTCCAGTCAAGGACACAACAATTAGCACAGGGTAAAAATCGACCCAATTTAAAGTCATAACAAGTTGACTGCTAAATACTTATTATTTGGCATTCATAGAAAATAACCTCCCCAATATGTATTATAATCTAGAGATTTGCACTAGATAGATTAAATTATTTATTCGCCAGATACTGAAAGCCATAATTTATTCAGACTTTACATCATTAAGCCAATCACTTCACTCTGACTCCTGAAACTGCTATAATTGTACATTACGTTAGCAGTAGTCTTTATAATCTAACAGACTAAATATTCGAAATTGAATTATAAACTGTGTAGAAATGAGTTCTAACGATATTTATTACTACTTATGATTGCCTTGTCGCTGCACCCTGAACACACAGGTTTCAAAAAACTTCCCGTATTCTTACCAAGTCTAGAAGGCGTTAGCATTTATTTTTAACTCATAAAAAAGTTTTACAGATTGAAATCATGAGTCAATTGAAGCTAGATCACCATGGAAAACCTGGAAGCACTGGACGGTGGCGCAACTTCGTGGATTGGTTGAAGTTAGACATTAACAACATTGGATGCCGGCTCAGTGGTCTAGTTGGTTAAGCGCCTGGCACAAGACTGATAGGTCCTGGGTTCGAATCCCGCGGGGTGCGGGATCGTGGATGTGCACTGCTGAGGAGTCCCATACTAAGACGAGACGGCCGTCCAGTGCTTCCAGGTTTTCAATGGTGGTCTAGCTTCAAATGACTCATGATTTCAATCTGTGAAATTTCTAAAATCTCCACAAACCCATTCTGATCATAAAAAAGTCTTGATTGTAGAATACTAGCATTTAGAATCGATTACTTTGACATTTGAAGACAGTTTTTATCAAGACTGTTTGCTGAAAAGCATTGGAAAACATTTTCTTGTTAATTTTGAACTCCGAATTATCGGTAACTCCTAACCGCTCGTAACACTAAATGCACGAGTTTTAGAAACCACAACTGGCACAATATTATTCATTCTGTATCATTGTTTTTAATACAAACAATTTTTGTTATAGGGTAACTGTCATCTAATATCTTTCATTAATAACTGTCTCAATTTCAGTTTGGTGAACTTTTACAATCCGCTTCTAAAGTTTTGGGATATCTGTCTAGCAACAGATCATTAGTGAATGATATATTTTATTATTTTTAAAAAGTTCTACCGTTATAATTATAAGTAATAACTTATTTATCTCATTAGTTATATTTTAAGACTTATCAAATTTAGTGAGTAGAAGATTTCTCATATATGGTTTCAATTTTACATAGAATTATTCTTGTCGGTTCCGTTGAGTTTAATGGGTTATCTTTGCTTCTTATTTTATTATATCAACCTTTTCAACCTTTGTAGGAATATTTCCTGCTGCATTTCAGAAGAGGATAACTGTATCATTTTAAAAATATATCCACAATCAATTTAACTAAACTGTAATCATCTACTCAACTAATGATTTACTTCGAAATGAATGATAACCTGTGAAATCAGTTAAGTATGAAGTGTTGTAATCAATCATCAGTGGTATAAAACGATCATCGTGATGGAATACGAACTGCATGGAGTTAAGAAATGTGAATCATTTATTTCTGACTTGGTGCTTAAACTGTACACTGTGGTATATAAAAGATTTAAGTTTGATTCTACGAACTAATTCTTTCTTCCTGTACTATATCCTTATTGCAAACTTTTTTTATATATTACCACCTCTGAATTAACCACTTATATGAATCCAGTGTCCATCTTGTGTTAATGAGGTATGGCAATTTGGACCGATGCATATATGTGCCTGGTCCTACGTTGTGGCTGACTGACTGACTGACTGATTGTCTGGAAGCCCAACACTGAACAGTCCGTTAGTATTATTGAGCAAACAAACCGAATTGGTTTAGAGACTTATAAAGAATGGGTTTTTTTAAATACTTCAGTGTTTAACAAGTTATATTAAATTATCTATAAATATTAGCTGAAGATTGTGTTCCTACACTTTCTTTCATTTTCACTTATTCCCTATTAGTTTTCAGTTAAACGTTGGAGATATTTTATAAATATTTGGAACTTAATGGATATTACAATGATTGTAGCCAGTATAATATGTGCAGCCTTTTTAATATATAGTACTATTATTGTTTCAAACAATATGTCCTCATTAATTAGTGATGTTTCGTCTTATCCAAATTTCGATTATCTTGCTTATTGGTATAGTCACCATATAAGATCAATGGCAATTTGTGTATTTCTTGGAATAATCAAGGTTAGTTACATTCTGTTTCATTAAAATTAATTTGGTTTAGTAAAGAGATCGTTTTTGCTTATTAATTTGATTAAATGATGCATTATTTAACTTATTCAGATGATGAAACTGTCAAAATCATGGTTCAAATGTATTCCATTTTATTTCGGTTAATTAACGACACGTTAGACAGTTAGAGGCTAAAGTTGTTATGTATAAGAAATATTTACTTGAACTGCTTCATAGTAGATTTTGATGATATTATCTGAAAAAAAGATTAAAGCTTCACAGTCCAATTTTGCAGTTCAAAGAACATAACACTTGCGTAATTCTCCTACCGAGATACAAATCTTCTGCATCTCATGATCATACGTCGGTTTAAACATCCGTGTGCATCAAAAATAAGCCATTAATTGCTACTTAAAGTTCTTATAAATAATCAGTTCGTGTCGTTCTTAAGCTTTTAAACCGATCGATCAATTATTAAACATCGATTTCATGTTATCCAATCCTCAGTAATGATTGAACACTATCAGTCAGGTTGTAACATAACCACTAGTCCCAGTGACTCAATATTACAGTTTATTTAGATTTTTGCACCTGTAAATACAATCCATAACAGTTGGCACTAGTCAGAGTAGAATATTTGCAAGCATGAAAGAACTGACGCTCCATAAGGAGTATAAACATACACTTCCGAGTTTCAAAGTTAAAGAGATTACGACTGAGTAATTTGAACCGTAACTGACCTCTCATAGCACTAAGATATATCAATTTATCACTTAACAGTAACCAGTGCCATGTTCAACTACCTCTTAGTTTCTATCAAATTGCACCAATTAACTCTCCACATAACCCATAGAATCAGTAACTTTATTCTTTTGAAGAGTTTTTCTTTATTTCAAATGATTAAAGAAAATTAGAAAGATATTACTATTATACTAAATGGAACTATAAAGTTTTTCAATCAATAAGTTTGATATGTACATTAATTGTGAATAACTTTATTGCTTATCAGCAAAGATGGATAGTGACCAGCAATGGAATCCAGAACTCACGTTTCGTTCTATTTGGGACTCGTCAGATGGATGTACCTTCATCTCAGAGTTGATGTTCACTCTGGGACTTGAACCCAGTACCGCTCGCTTCAAACGCCATCGCGTTATTCATTCCTGACCACTGTCCATCTTTGCTTAGAATGCTTTTGAATTAAGGCAATATCACACAGTATGCACATATGCCAATAATAAGAGACTGATCAATTGCAATCATAAACATCAATGGTAAGGTTCAAATTCATTCGAAATTCATTTCAATCTACTTTTTTCAAGGCAAATAGTTAGAAACATGTATGAATTATGAATGAGCTATTTTTATTAAATAAATATAAATGAAGTTTTCTCTAATTCTGTAAATAATCTTTTTCTGAATCTCCTTTTCCTTTCCTCTTCGAAAAAACAGATCTTCAAATATTTAACGATTGATCGTTCATTAAATCAATTAACAAGAACAATGAGTGTAGCTGCTTATGATTTACTGGGATTTTTAATTATGTTTTGTATTGTGTATTTCGCGTTTGCTCAATTGGGTTATTTAGCATTTAGTGCAAGAACATTAGCGTATAGTTCATTTACTCAAACAACGTAAGTATTATCATCACTATTATTATTATTACTATTATTATTATTATTATTCTAATAGAATTATGAATTACGATAAAACTGTAATTGATTCATTACATAATCTATAAACATTAAAACTTCACTATTAGATCACTGTTATATTTGTTTATCAAATATACCCATTAATTCAGATGGATTATAACCATGAAGTTAAGTAGATCGAATAATATAACGGTTTTTTTTAATGTCGATGTGACTATTATTTATGGACGAACCAATCAGATATAAGATTTTGGAGAGAAATTCATTCACCTATTTGGCTAAATAGAGTTTTGGCATTTTAGCTGATGTCAATTCGTGATGAAAATCCAAAATCTATTTCCCAACCTTGATCATCAACTGTACATCACAATTCTAATTCCTCACATTGCCTTGTAACCTTTATTTAGTCGTACTTAGTAGGCAGATATCCTCAAGGTCACTTTAGTGTTGCTCAAATGTTGTCAATAAATCAGTTTCACCTTAGTATCTAGTTGGATGAAAGGGATAGACAAACAATATTATAAATAGATTTTTCGGTAGTTAGCACTCTTATTGTTGTGAACAAAAACATGAGTGGGGACAACTAAAATGTATTTGACACAAAATTATGGAGCATGTCAAACAAATCTGAGAAGCATGTAGTAAGTCGTTAATTTGCAAAATATCAACCCACCGTCTCAAATTTGACTGTTCCTCTTGCAAATATCAGTCCATTGTCTCAGATTTCATTTTTCCTGCATTTTCATACCAATTATGTTCCGTTCCCGTCCCTTCCTTATCGACCTTCTACTGAAATACATTCTATGCCTGACCACTGTTATATGCTACTTATGTGGATATAAGTAACACACAACACAATATTAATAAGGTGTATTTGTAAATGATTTATTCTGAAATATACCTTAAGGTTCTCATCTAAATATATGAATACTGATCTTATATTAAGTCCTCATGGCAAATTTTAAAAAATGAACATTATGTAATAATAGTAATAGTAACGTTATTCAAATTGAATATATAAAATCTGACAAAAGTTCTTTGTGATGTGATGTTCATATTTACAATATTCAAACAATACTACCACAACAAGAAAGCTGTTTATTCGAGGTCTGCCGATAGTTTTGACGAATAGTCTTAAACATATAATTTTGGAAGTTCTTTGACAATTCTTATTATTAACAGATTGTCTTTACAGTTTCAGATAAAATTTGTTGCATACAGATTAAATATTCATTTAATGAACTTAGTCTTCATTAAGACAATTCATTCAATTTAGGTGAAATACAGAATGATGAATACACTAATCATTGATTATATTTTCTGGAAATAATCATTTAATTTCACTATAAAACATATTACTTAGTTTAAGTAAATAATCATTCATAAAATAAATGAGATAGGGATTTTAGGGATGTGAATAACGAAAGTTGTTTGATATTTATTTATTATTAAAAAGGGGTTTTGTGGAGATTGTAGTAATTGTGAGTCGATTAACGCTAAACCACCATTGTAAACCTGGGAGCAATGAACGGCCGTCTCGTTTGAGTATGGGACTCCCCACCAGTGCGCACCCACGATCCCAGTCGCTTGATTCGAACCCAGGATCTTCCATTTCGCGCGCGAACGCTTAACCTGTAGACCATTAAACCCGGTGTTGGGATATTCAGAAAAATATCCCAAAAATTATTCTGTTAAGCCTAATGCTAACCTTGGACATGAAATGGTATCATCTCATTGGTTAATATTCATTTAACGTGTCATTTTCCCACTGGTCAATATTGTACAATGTTATTTTCTATTTTATGGTACGATGTGGTCTGCTTGACTGGTATATAAACAAAGTATGTTTTAAATATAATGATTCATATATCCGAGGCTGAGACTTGCGTTATGGACTCAACTGGCTGGGCTAGACAGGGAAGCGGGACCAATCAGAACCCTAGGCCGTTCTACGTGTTTGCGCGTCTTTGGTCCGATCAATAATTCGCTACCCTCTAATCGGCTGCCGTCACAGTTATAGCACCCGACTTCCAACAGTGGTAGTGTCTAACTTCAACCAATCTACGGAATTGTGCCACCGTCCACCATAGTCTTCAGTGAGTTACTATCTTACAATAAACACGGTTGAACTCCACTGGTCATGACTTTTCACTGTAACTCCAGGAAATACCTCTTGAAGCCAGCCATTAGTGAGTACATGATGTTTGTTATCAGAAAGAGGTTTTGTGGTGATTGTGGTAACTTAAAAGTTGAATTCATGAGTCAATTAAATCCAAACCATCATGGAGGAGTTCTATACTAGGACGAAACGTCCGTCCAGTGCTTACAGGTTTTCTATGGTGGTCTAGCTTTATTCGCTCATGAATTCAACTATGATATTTAATTGTAATATGGGATAATTTATCAACTCGAAAGCATTTTCCAATAAATTCCATTTACGCAGAATTTTAAAAGTTCATCAGTGATAGGATTGTCAAGTATGCCTGACTAGACAATGAAATTAGTTGAACTTTCTTACCTCGTCACTGCCTATTTCTTCATTTATGATTTTTATTATAAAATACTACCGACCGGTTAATAAATAAAAACCAAAGAAGGACTGGACGTCCTTTTTTGTCCCATTATTATAAAGTCTTTTTCCAGAATGTGTCCATGATATACAATGAACAAAACTGGCGTTACATCATAAACTGACTACATTTAAAAATAAGAGCTGTTAGATTCCAGCTCGATAGATAGAATGTATCGCACTCGTCAACTGATCTTAATATCCTGATTTTAATCCCATGTGAAGTAGTTAGTGCACACTCATGAAAAATAAACAGAGGGATATCATTATTAACATAGAGTTTGTCGTAGAAATGGGTTAACCAGAGTTGCCTTACCATACTAGCACGATAAGATGATAATAACAAGACGAAAAGCAAACTAACCTAAATAACTTTGTAGTAAGGAGAATTAGTAAATATTGGGATTATTGTTCTAAAAGGTAAAGTAGAGAAGTATACGTGAAAGAATACTGAAATTCAATGTAGATTGAATGCATCTGTACGATTGTGAATGATTCTGAGTCATCCCGTTGAAAGTTTTCAATCACTGGTCCAAGTTATAACGAGCATTTCAACCAAAGAGTTTGAGTTTACCAATATTACTTAGACCACTAATCAATAACTTCATGATCTAATATCAAATATTGGTTTGGCCGCGATTAACCCTCTTCTAACTTATTTTTATACAAGTAGGTGTCTTCCGTCGATTTAGGTGGTAGTTAGGTAGACGTTAAGCATGTTCTTACCGTCTCAGTCTATGAAGACATACAACTTCATCAACTAGTCCCATAGTATCCCATGCCTAAACTCAATATTGATCACTTTGTCGTTCCACAATATAAAAACAAGATTTTCAAGATTGTAATGACCAAACTCCTTTGGCGTACGCAAGTTTTCTAATTGCAAAGACCATATTTCACAACTGTAAAATAACACAGAGAGGTCGGTTGCTCATTAAACTCTCCCTTTTGTTAGCAAACGGACATCTCGCCTATTCCACATTTAACGCAAATTAGCAAATGCTAACAAACCCTTCTAAATTAGTGGTGAAATTTCTCCAGAATACAACTCACCAGAGCTGATGAAACTTCCAAGACACGTAAAGTGTTCAATACACTCAAATTAATCTATATCCTTTAATTAATATCTGTTTATCATGAAAGTTACATTTTAAATTGAATTTGCGTAAAAGACCAATTAAAACAACAGTTTCTAGATAGATATATTAACCAACTTGTTAATATGATCTCCCTAAGTAGAAATCTCAATTTATGAACAATTTTATTCATATAGCTATACACTTAATAATTTAATGTTTAATAAATGTCTATCTCTTTATTTATTTATTTCAGTTATTCATTATTTCGTATAATGGTTGGTGATATCGACTTTCCATCCATTCTAAAAGCTCATCCTGTTTTAGGACCAATATTTTTTGTGACTTTTGTTTTCTTTGTATTTTTCGTTTTATTAAATATGTTTCTTGCTATTATTGATGAATCGTATAAGACAACAAAAGCTGAATTAATTCAACAGAAAAATGATGTAACATTGGGGCATATACTTAAAAAAGTAAGAAATTATTCGATTAATTTAATTATATAATAATGCAATTATGTACGATTGGATACAATTTAATGTGATGTAATACAAAATTCAATGATAATAGGATTTGATATAATGATCAAAATAATTCATCAGTAAATAATACCGATAAATTGGATAAAATAGAAACACACAGAAAATCTTATATCACTTGTTGACATCAACAGTCAATTGGAGCTAGATCATCATGGAAAACCTGGAAGCATTGGACGGCTGGTTCGTCCTATTGTAGGACTCCTGAGCAATGCGCATCCACGACCCCACCTCGTGGGATTCGAACCCAGGACCTATCAGTATCACGCGTGAGCACTTAACCACTAGACCGCTGAAAATCTTATATTTACAGAAAGTTAATGAATTCATCTTTAACACTGAACTAAAAACTTGAAAATATAACTTGTGTTTTTATCACTTAATGTCAAATTCATTTAAAAACCTACACATTTCATCAAATAGTTGAGACTAGTTATAGAAAACTTCATAGATTTATTCTATCACATACTCGGATAAAGTTAGTTACTTGTATATACTACCAAAGAAGACGTAATATACTTCCTAAAAACACTTAAACACTTGTTATGAATGAGTTCATAACGATTTCAGAGTAAAGTATTTGACGATCAATGTCCTCAATCTGCTATTTCTTATTCATCTGTATTGAGTAGCCTTGGAAATAAACATGTTTTAAAGGATTCTTCTTTATTAAATTCATTATTTTATTTATAAAGTACTTTCTGAAATTCTTCTCTAAAAATGATTTGTTTTTCAATTACGACTGATTAATGTACTTTTGCACAAATTGATTTTTGTCCAAATTCATTTTCTATTGATTATTAGAAAGCTAAAGATTTAGCTAAAAGAGTTCAAAAGAAACGATCTAAATCGATTGTTCGTATATTACGAGAATATGGATTGATGGGTAAAGAAAAATTACCCTATGAAGATTATCGTCAAGCATTAAAAAGGTACACCATAAAAATAAATTAATTAGTTAATGATTAACTATTCAGTTTTTGTTTGCCTGTTTAATCTTATTGGATAAAGTTAGTATAATAATAGTAATTTCGAATGTACGGTCTTTTTCATCAATGAAATTGATGATTTTTGAAAGGGGGTCACGAATTTCTTCTGTACACATAAATTGGGGTTAAATGTACGAATTCTTATGGCTTCAGCTATATGTAGGAGACAGGGATAAACTCTGTAGGGAAATGCTTCCAACTTATCTACATTATGACCGCTATCAATAAAATATGCCAAAATAGAACTTCGTATTGTTTTTATCTGGCCCCTTATATTTCTGAAAGGAAACATTCTGTTATCATCATTACAATTTAGTGATAATACGTATTGTAAATAGAAGATAAAAGAATTTCAAAGAAATTATGCTAGAATTCTGTATAATTCTGTCAATTGCCTAGTCTTTTGGCTTTTGTGATAGAATAGAGCTTGAAGATTTAATTATAAGATCCAGATTTAAAGCAGTGAAGTGAAAAACAAAGCATTACCATAACTACCAAATTCAATCCAGACTGACATATTCATATCATTTTGGTTAGTAATCATGCATTATGTTTGTGACAAGATCTTATAGAACTTCTAAAATAGAACGAACTGCTCACTAAGGTACTGAATGTAACAGATTATTTCAATTTAGTAGATAACGTTTTCTAAATTAGAATCATCATCAGAAATCTTACTAATAGGAAGTGGTTAGATCAGAATTCAATATTTTAGACTTTGATAAGTGAGATGAATATTTATCTATTTCACTTATTAATTTATCCTGCTACATTACATGAAAAGTCTTATTTGCTGTTTAGTTTAATCTATCAGAATAGACTATTCAGACATCTTTATATTGCAATGTTATGTTAGTTGAGGATCTATACAAATAGTCGTATATTCTCTGCGCAGTATTTCTTTAGTCACAGAAACACTACGATCTTTTAATAATCCTGTAACTTGGCGAGAATTAAGATAGAGCTTATAAGCTCACTCAATCATTATCATCTCGAAACTAAACGACAGATTATCTCAATACAATTTAAACTGAATAATACATTCAGATAATGTTGAAACCTAGTTATTATTCAATCTGATCAAATCTTTTTATTTATTAGCTCATACATTATCAATTGTATTCTAAAAACAAAACACTTTCTGGAAATTGTAATTATTTGAACACTCCAAAAAACTGTTTAAATGGCAGTTAAGTCTTTAAAGTTTATTCTAATTGAATATTGTACTTTTCCATTCCCTTTTTTTCATTATCGTACAAATAAATCAATAAAGCCATGGATATAGTGAACCTGAAATTTTTACAACTTTTGTGAAATACGATGAAGATGGTGATAATAATTTAGATCTAACAGAACAACAACAATTAGCTTATGAAATTGACTTGGGTGTAAGTATGAATGTAATTATCATTACAATTTACTAGTTCAGTTTTTGGTTAGAGACTAAATATTCAAAAAGATATTTGATTACTACAGTTGAGAAAAATTTTACCGGTACTCAATAGGTTGATAATTAAATCAGAGTGAAATTTAGTTAAATGTAACGAACATGAACTCTAAAATTGTAATACAAATTAGATCCGCAATCGTAGAAGCACCTTACTGATTAGCATTCCAAAGTTATCATACAATAGCTTATTGATTCTTGGCTTTCTAAAGGTTTACCGACTGATTTGTATCTTGATTAAATTTATCATAAAAATATATATAATAAGTGTTAAATGCTCACTGTTGTGAAATACTGACTTATTGTCTTTAATTAGTATGTAAGTAATGCATTCATATATGTATTTGATTTCTTCAAGTCTGAAGAGGTATTATTTCTTTCAAGTATAATTTCGAACTGACATCCATTCTAACAATGGTGAATCACATCAAATGCTATTCTTGATCGTCATATTATATTGAATGCATTTTTCTGAATTATAAATTATTCGATGATTCCCATCGCAAACTGCTGAAAACGAGGGAATATTTTATAGCTATTTCGTTCAAGAGTAAAAATCCCCAACAATACTCATCGACGACCATGTACAAGATTGAACCCATGACCTTTAATTACAGTTGTAAAAACAGCAATATGGAACTACTGAGCTGAAATCTAATGATTCAGATTTTTAACTTTAGCTACAGATTTCAGAATAATTTTCCAGAAGTTCCGATGGGGAAGTAACAGATGGAGTTAACCGTATAAATGAGTGAAACAATTTATCTACTGATGCCAATGTCTAATGTCCACATTATATCATTTTGAAACTTGAATTTCATGAGTTCAGTACCATGTGTTTCGTGAATGGTTACGATAGTGGGGTTTCGAATTAAGATAAAACAACTTTACAACTCTCCCCACTCTTTTGTGATTCCATAGTTGATGTCGATATTTGATGACAGTTATTTTCAGATTGTAAAAATGTTTCAACAATTTACTTTTGTAAATTATTTCTAATGAGGCTATAAAGCACTGTATGTTGACACACGCACAACTAGACACAAACATGCAACAATATCTGTTACGATGAACTATATTACTATACTTAGTCTGTCTATAGATAATCTTAAGAAGTTGTTTCCTATTGTTTAATCATAGTTTCATATGAATCATCTTTTTACTTCAAAATCAAGGTAATCTATAAAATTGGAGAACCAGTTGATGAAGGGATTGGGACAGATGAAGATTCCAATGGAAATTCTGTTAAGGATGAAGATAATGTAGGTTGAAGATGATTTCATATTTACGTAGTCAGTATAGTTTTAAAAAGATGTAATCTAATTATGAGAAGTTGAGTGAAGATTCATCTTATACTATTCGTATACTCCCAAGATAGGTGAAGTGGCCGGTGTGTCCAACTACTTCACTCCCTATCACTAGTTTAGGCGGTGACGCAGGTCAGTCCTGAAATAGCATCTTTCATTTGAAGGAAAAGAACACTTCATTTCTACCTGAAGTTTGTGCTGATGATGTCGTCCAGAAGAACGATGAGAGCTCCACGACCAAACCATCCAGATCAGAGAACAAAACTCCATCAAAATGATCACTTTACAACGAAATAAATGCTTAAAAATAAACTAAATATTCAAAAGATTTAGTTTATCAATTTCCTTATTTATATTTTGATATAAATTGCAATTGAATAATCAATATTATTAAGTAAAATTATGTAATAATTATAAACTATTTCTAATTCAATTTAGTATGTTGATCCTGAAGACTATAATGAATTAATCCAAAATGTTGATCTTATGGAAGCTACACTTGTTTCAATTATTACACGTATAGATGAATTATTAGCTAGCCTAGAACAAATTGAGATAGCAAAACGTGAACATAGAATACAACTTAGTGGAATAATTAAAGATATGGTAAGTGATCAATGTATTTATTCATGAATGATTCCGTTTTTAATGACAATGTTTATTTGTATGGATACGCAAATTTGTATACTTTCCTAGATAATCATTGACTACCAAGTGATAAAGATTGTCATTTTATTTTAAACTACAGTGCTGATCAAACGTTGTCAACTAATTTTGGAATGTGATCATTAGTCTAACTAAATTAATAGTTCTCAACTCCAATTTAAATGACAATTAATGAGGCTACTTTCTACTTCTTTCTTCTCTTTCCGCTAACTAGGGACAAAATTTGAAATAGTCCAGAACATCTATGCCCCTAACGAGAAGGAATAGTATCTAGAGTATAACTTTCACGTATACACATATATTTACGATGCCCTTAAGGACAGGGTAACAAAATGAGATACTAAAACATTAACAAACCAATGAGACAAATGAGTCCTTCTAAGCGGAGAAAACTGACAACGTAGGAAATTGCAAAGACGAGTTGTACAAGTTATTTTGAGAATCCAGTACACCTAACAAACTTTTAATATCCTATTTTTCGTGTTAGCGGTCAACGGTATTTGGAAAGAAACCTTTGATTTAGACTCTAAACTATGTATTCGTTCTTATTTAGAAATTCTATCTCAACGTTCAGGAAGAACAAAATCCTATTCTTTTAGCATGTAGAATACTCTAATTGGTCGTGCTCGCTGGAAGACCTGAAGTTCGTACCTTCGATACCTGGCTGAAGAGTCATGGATATAAACTGTTGGAAAGTAGCATCAGTACACTAATTCCCAATAGCTGTTTGGCTCAATTCACTTAGAGATGCACACTGCAAATATCATATAAAACGAAAAACAAACTGCTTATTCCTATTTTGATTATTTCTAAGTAAATGAAAGAGGAACTAGACCCTGGATTCAGCACGCAAACATCAGTAGAAATACTAACGGACCAAGACGTAGGTGGATCTAGTTGATGGTATCAAGAATGAACTGTTATATAGTATCATATATAGTGAAAATATGATCACAGGTGACAAGGATTCTGTAAAAAAAACGTTGACAAATGGATAGATCAGTCATTCCAGTCTTATAAAAATATATAGGGAAGCAAAGATCCATCTTAACATTGATGGTGTACAACTCTAATAATTAAATCCAGAAAGTATGTATTTTTATATAAGGTACTAGTCAAGCTAACGAATCGATGCACTTACATTGTGGTCGGTTATAATTAAACCATCACTTATTACTTTAAATATCCAGTCAGTGTTAATGAAGACATTAATTTCATTGCATACATTCTGAATTTAACATAATATTGATGTAAAAGAAAATACATTCTCACGATCTTATATCCATGAACAAGCTTATTATCAGACTATTCAAATAACTGAAGAAATATCACTTACCTAAGACAAAAATATAAAGAGTGTGATCGAGATAAATTAACTCCAAGAGTGAAAAGTGGCTTAAAATAGATTATATTCTACTTAGTCTATTCAACTAATTCTTTGTGAGAAATCCAGATAAGGTGATACGCAACGTATTCAATACTGACTATGTTATAACTTTCGGTCATTTTTATGTCCATTTATTAGATAAGTAGTACATATTAGTGTAGTGTTTACTCCAAAAACAAGGATAACTAAACATCACAAATGTAAGATGTCTCATTACTAAAGATACAACATTGCTACTTACCAATAATGAAATAACACTTTATTTTTCATCTCAATTTATGATATACAACTTGAATGAATGATCACTGTCCTATCTTTTTTCTTTCTACATTTTAGTCTCGAACACTCCAGTTTAAATAAACATATGGTTATAAACGAATTTACTGATATTTATTTAGTACTCTTCATAATATAATCACTGGTAATATCACCATCATCATCACCATAATGAATGTCATTTATTATTGACTAATGTTAACGACTACGTCCTAAATAAACGCTTATCTAAAATTTAACAGAACTTTAATTAAGATTGATTTGAATGCATTGAGTTGTGTTGTACTTTAATTTTTTGAAGTTTTAGTAAATCCTATCACCATGATCCTTATTATAAATTTCTAATTATATGACCAAGATTTGAATCTAACAATGAATCAATTAGATAAATAATATCCAAGTTTAAGTTACTTGGAGATTACAGACATTTTACCAACGTAATGAACATGTTACCACAATTTCATATTACTAAAAATAATATGGACATGAGTGAACACTAATCATTAATCTATCCTGTTTACGATAGAATTCTGAAATGTATAGAAAAGTCTACTTTAAACGACACTAGTTTAATTATGGCTCATAGTTCTGAAGACTATACAACAGTTCTTCAGCATGAAGATACCGTAAGTAGTAAATATTGACGGTATAGGAAATGAATGTTAAGATGAACGTGAGGTTTGAACTAAGGTTGTCGTTGTTAGCTGTTTACTTAGCATGCCTAAAATAATCAGATGTGGTTCAAATTAGGCGTCTAAACACCAATGGAAAATACACTGTAACACTACTTTTTTAAAACAAACACTTTGTTAAAAACCGCAAGTACATTTAGTAGTATTAATAATACAGCTTATTATTAAATGATATATGTACTATCATAGAACAATTATATCTAACAGTACAAACTAATTTGAAATCCTCGGACGACAGAATCTAATGATTAGGGGCTTTAGGGAAGATCAAAACTTGACAAATAGAAGCCAATCAATACTAAGATTAAGTACTGATGAATGTGAAATATTTGCAGCATAAAACATGTAATAATTCTTTAAGATCATCCAATCATCAGTTTTCACGTATGTACTGTAAAGTAATTTCCTCGAAAATTGTCAAAATACTTTGCCGTAAACCTGATGATTAAATGGTTATTAAGTGAACGAATTTTGACAAAATACAACATTCGAATACCATACAAATATCTTCATGCGCCGATCCATATGAATCAAACTCTCCAGACTTCATAATACTTTCTATTATTTTGTACCATACAAGTGTGTAATCAGTTTTAGATTAAAAGATATACCAATTAGTAATGTCAGTATTTTTTTACAAGACCTTCAATATGGTGAAAAAACTACGAAATTTTATTATGCAAATCCATCTACTCTTAGTAGTGTGAGGAATTCTTAAAAATTTCATTCACTATTATTTTGTTCAACTCCGCCTGTAGCTCTTATAGGGTTACTGCCGGTCCCAAGCCCGGGAACTTAGATTCCATTTCATCTACAAATACTTTTGGGAATATACACACTTAGTAGCTGAATCGCTGAAAACAAACACGGACGTAATTCAGTTTGGTCGTTGTTTTGAAGTGTTCACCAATCATTTACTAATTTAAACAAAGACAAAGGTACAAAGAGGCACCAAAGTATGTATGCGACACATAAATCATTGGAATTTTTCATGGGCTGAGATACAGATTGGGTGCTCAAACCGCAGCAGGTGGTTTCCTTAGGGTACCAGCCCCGAGCCTTTGACCTAGTGGTCTTATCCACATGGCAGTGAGCCACTTTAGAAGATGCCGTCTCATGGTAGCCAGTAACCAAGGTCAGATCCACACCCTAATAGGTCACTCAATATCCCGAAGCCCAAGCGCACCATTCCAGTCACTGGGATAGTGTAACACAGTACTAGACGCCTCAGCGAAGTCCAGATATCGTAGATACATAGGCGCTCTACTCCTATAGCAACAGCTTATAGCCAAATGAGTATTGAAACAGGTCGGTTATTGAATAACAAGAGGGTTCGGGTCATTATTTTAGTGCTATGGAGCGTATGTCCCTGCAACCTGCAAACTTCTCGGACCTACTTTTCAGCAACCTTTACAACGCTAGTCCTGGTTTTACCTATATATTGCTCCTCATCATTGTCATTGTTGGTATATCCGCTCAAACCCGTTGACTCGGCACCTGGTTTCTAATTTTTTCAAAGTATGGGTCAAAGACCTGACTGGTCCCGAAATCCCCTGGTTCGTGATTCTTTTTGTGTGACATCAATTTATACAGGTGCTGTGTACCTACCTACAACTTCACTGCTAGGTTTATGTTGGGAAGACGTACCTCCCCCTCTCCCTTGCCCGTAGACTGCACCTGTCCCTTGATCTTATATATAGGTCAAGGTCTGAGTTTTTTAATGAAGCCCTCCGTATGTTCCAAGCTTTCTCCTGTGCTTGAGGCAGTCGTTCGGCGCACCATTTTATTCATGATATTATTATGTTAAGGACAATTATTTGAGTTAGGTACAACTACGTCAAACGTTTCATTAAACGACGGGATGTGTTTGGAATAGATTGGACTTGATTGGAAAACAAAGGGTTAGACAGATATATTTAGTCACAGATAAATGGACCTAACATGAATGTGGATCACTATGAAAGAAATTCACCCTACTAGATTACTGATGATACCTTAATTCACGAAAACGGACCAACGCTAAGTCACTTCATGATGGCAGCAAGTAGTTGAGGATAATCTTACCATGAATATTATTTGATGTTGAAGTACTTTATGAGGTACTTTCTCACAAGAAACAAAAAATAAAAATAAATGCACCACCTAACATAAAAATGAGTACTGATGCAATACATCCCAGAATAGTGAGTGGAAATTAACAAATAAAGCACTATGAGAGCCAAAAAGGCAGCGGAAAATGAACCCAAGTAATCAAAATTATGACATAATACTAATCAAGGTACAGAGGAAACAAAAAGCAAACTACTCTGCATTACAACCTGTTCTGGATTATGTACCTAAAAATTCCCAAATCCTGGTTATAGGGGGTTCTGAAGACTCAAACCCAACAAAAAACACCAGTCTGACCACTGCACCGATAAACTACTTCAGGGAATAGCATTCTATAAATGATACGACTTACTAACGTTGTAGTTGTATGGTAAACAAATTTTCAATGTGAATGATAGGTAGGAAAGCTACATTAGTTAAGGGTTTTGAATTTTGCGTGGGTAGGACAAAGTGAGTACTGGTCGGCTGATGGAGATTAACTTGTGGCAAAATATTTAGGAACCAAATAGTAAGTTCTGGCACATTTTTAGCAATCGAGAAACACAATGCAACTATAGGTTTTTCCAATTAAAGTGAATAATTAGTTAGATTTTTAGTGATTACGCATTAAAATAGTAGTTAGAAGTAGGCAATATTTATTACAAAAAATATGAAACAAACACAAAAACGCACTAACAACTTATATAATCGGGATAACATTTATATAGTAATAGAAAATGGAATAATAATGACAAAATTAGAAAATAACTGGCGGTTTGTGGCAAATGAGAAAGCTAAATTCTGACTGGTTTTAGTGACTAGCTAATTGACATATTAGTTTCGTGATTATCTGCCAACGGTGCCACATGGTGACTGGACTTGGAATTTACTGCACCTACTGTTTGATGCGCTTGCTTTTTGCAGTCAGCCAAATATTTCGCTGTAGGGATTGCTGCACTTCCCAATTGTACGGTATCAGGTTGGACGGCGATACATAAATTGCTAGTATTATTTTCTGTATCGTTGGAATTATGGTATACTTCACCGCCATCTGCTAGAAATATAGCAGCAACTTCACGAGGTAACTGGTCTAATGGCAAACCAATGTACTCTTCACCAGTTGCTGGCACAAGAGATTTGTCCAAGTCAGAAAAATAAGGATGCAAGAGAGCATCCCTTGCAGTAATACGTCGCGAAGGTTCATAGATCAGCATGGCCTGTAAAAGGAATCGATGACAAGGAAAAATAAGTTACGTGATACGTTCCATAAATACAAAACCACGGCGAGATATATGTAGTATTAACCAAAATTAATGTACTTCACACCAAGTGCAAGTTTACAAACTTGAGTGAGTCAAGTGATTAAATTAAGCCGGTAGTGATCTAGTGCAGAACCGATTAGTGGGAAGGTGCTATTCCTGAATAATAGGATTTATTAATTATCTCATAATAATTACTTAGTAAACGTGTACACATTCGTTCACTAGTTTGAGAATAACATCTGGTTTGCGGGCTTGTGATACCATCTTTTTACACAAACTGAAGTGCAGGTAGAGCATAGCTCTAACTCCAGATACTTGATACAATTTAAAACCACAACACTAGTTTATATCGTGCTTGTTCTTTAAAATATCCACTTCACTGCTCTTAGCTCAGTTGAATACAGAAAATATGGCACAATTTCACAAAAAATTGATAAGCTAGTTTCTGTGTACGTGCTAAACTGAATGGAACTACGAAAACTATTCTTCTAAACTGCCAGAAATTATTAAACGTTGTTGTAAGGACTGATTTAAAAAGTAATTTACCTGAAGCAAATCAAGACCAGGACTGGTGAAGGCTTTAGCTATATTATCTTGAATAGACAACTTTGAATTGCGCCAAATAGGAAAACTTTTCTTTTGATATTCCGGTAAACTTGAAACTCCTGGCCAAACTTCTTCTGATGGCGTACCAAGGAGCCGGAAAATGCGAAAAAGTTGATCTATTTCCGAATCTCCTCGAAATAAAGCTTCTTTTGTTGAAACCTCAGAAAAGATACAGCCCATAGACCAAATATCTACGGCACAAGAATACCTTTGAGCCCCAAGCAAGATTTCTGGAGCTCGATACCATAAAGTAACAACCTATTAAGATAAGTAGTATGGAAATAAAACGTTCACTGAAATGCAGCAAACACCAAATCATTTTAGGATGTTGAACTCATATTCTACAGAACGCCGAATAACCAATAACTAATCACATGGGCGAGCCTGTTACGAGAGATCCTGGGATGGTAGCTGAGCGTTCGTATGGCTTTGGCAAATATGCACTACCTGTGAGCCTGTTTGCTTTTCGCCTGGCTGATTTCCAAAGCTGTGATAAATGTGACTTGTTCTGAGCCAGATGTATGCCAAGTTTTGTGCTTTTCATGTGTAGATGACATGTCCAAATCACCACAGTATGTATAATAGTTCGTGATCTTACTTTTAAACACCTCCGGGAGAATATTATGCAACTACATTATTCTTTTCTACGTCATCCTTGTATTAACTTCT